GTGGAGGTGTGATTACTTTTTGAACGTTTTTTTTTTGTAATTTGTAGGATGCGGTTTTATTTTTGGTATACGGGTTTTTTTAGGTTTTCCGCTTGGGTTATTTTTGAACATTTTGTTGGTTTTTTCGTTGTAGTTTCTTTAGGCGATAGAATTTTCACTGTATTTCCACTATTTGCTTTTCGTGAGAGGAAATACTATAGGATGGTTGAGGGGTTCGCATGAAGGTTTAAGTGTTAATGGATTAGATGTTTCTGTTGAAAACCATGTTTTATACTGTTTGGAAAGGAGGAAACTCACCAATTCCTCAGTCTGATATTTGTGTTAGTACTATTTGATAAACTGGGCACTAGAGTTCGGTAGTCAGTTTTCTGTGCTTGTGGGTTCTCGTGAGCCTGAATTACACTTCGTTAAACTGAGGAATGCGCATTGTTCATTAACAGCACTTTCAGCAGTCCGTTGATGTGGACTAAAAGGTATTGATAGGGATTACCGAGGTTGTAATAAGTTATTGGCTTCTGTATGAAAATGCGTTTATCCCATGTTTTCATTGTATTTTGCCCGTTTTCTTTTTTGTGTTGTAATCTGTTATCGGATCATTTTCATGTGTTAGTCATTCACTGCCTATCCACCTTTTAAATGGATAACAATTGCAGTTATTTATGCAATGCCTTTGAATCGAAATGAGGCTTTAAATTGCAGCAAAAAAGACAAGGGATTGTGGTTTCCGCTTCTAGTCATGTAGAAATTGGAAGAAAACATAACCGTGAATCAAAGCGAATGTCAATGGATATATATGTGTATGCGGCTGTCGCGTCAATGTCAAGTGTTTTATTAATGACGCAGTGTCCTGTGAATACACACGAATGGTTATTTGACAACAGGTAATAAATTGCTTCACTAGGTCTTTATCGAAAATTTGAAGAGAAGTGTTAATCCCCATGCTTCAATTTGTAGAGGCATTACTGACTGTTGAAGATTGCAAAGAAAAACAATTAGGGTTAGTTGCATGAAGTAGGATCTTATCTCACTTAAGGCCATATGAAGTTGATCGCTGGTGTATGTTCGGGTGTTGTTCGTGTTACAGTTATGTAACCCTTGACCAACTCTACTTAACTCGATGTGCTTCAGTACACTGCCCTACCTAACGCGTAAGTACTGGTAACGAAACACAAATCAAAACAACTGGTATTCGGAAATATATTCAAAGGAGCAGTATATCTAATTAGAATAAATGTGATAATAATTGATAGAGGAAAAGTATATCCAACTTATATGGCTGAACTAGGGACTCTGAGGATGTACGTGTTAATCAGCACGAAGTGAGCGAAGACGGCATCGAAGCCTGCTCGTTAAAAATAAAATTTAAGACACCTTAAGCATCATGAGACAAGCTAGATGTTTTATTTAGTTGGTTAAATTTAATCTATTTACTTTAGCTCTAGTTGCATTTTTTTATCCTATGAAGGTGTACATCAAGTGAACTGACAAAAGATGGATGAAGTCAATAAACACTTGCAAATGAAAACGCTTTTCACATGAATGTTCTACAGAAACTATATATTTGATTTATGCATGATAAGCAAATTACATGTTTAATAGACTTTGCTTTTGTGTTGCAGCGAAAATGTGGTGGAGAAGCTGAAAGATGCAAATTGCTACAGAACGTCTAGTTAATGTGAAATAAGGCAGCTGATACTTTCGGTCATACCAATTTCATGTTTTGTGAATATTGACATCAACTAGTGCTTAATCAGAGTGCCTTTTAATAATCACTTCCATGTTAATGATACACTATCGCAGCTAAGTGTTGGAATTCAACACATTAACTAACATATTGTACCTGCTTAAAATACGCGACGTTTGCCTATCAGAATAGTCAACTCCAGTAAAGAAGGATATATATTGCAATTTAGAAGCATTACTTATGTTTACTGAAATAGGAAGGTTAAGCAAAACGCACGTCTATGGCAATGTAATGATACCCAATCGATGTTATGCGACGAAACTCATCACCCCTTGAATAGTTAGTTCACTTTATTTGCAACCGAAATTGACTACGATTCTGAATAAGTATCTTCAAATATTCATTCTGGGTCTTCAATACAGGTCGCCAACCCCTTCGCCCAGATGAAAAAAAATATTGTAAGTTACAATGGAAAGTATATCTGTTTATCTCGAATCTAAGGGATATAGTAATCAAGTTATTCGGCAGTCTATAAGTGCAGTAAATCTAATCTGCGCAATCGGAAGCTGTGCATGAACTGATTTTATGTGGATTAATGTTTCAATCTACCGCTAATCCCATCTTACTGAATAGAGGTCACTCACTCCTTCTGGAACAACTTCTTACTTTTCAGTTGTATACCTTTACCATACTCCAATGTAGGTCATCTGATCTTTTTAAATGCATTTTCATTTGCCTATGCGAATATTCCATATGATTATTGCCAAGATCAATACCTGCCTATTGAAAGAGGAAGACCACATGCATTTTCTTTCCATCCAGTATTGGTTGAGATATTAACCTACGTCTGATATACAGATGAAAAACTACAGTAATACAAGTATTACCTTCCAGTGTTTTCGCATGACACCAAACAACAAAAGTATATTTCGACTATTGCATTATTTATCTGAAATTCGCACCACCATGTCTACATGTTTTTCCAATTTAACCTTTTGCACGAGGTACGGCACAAATAAAACGCACAAAGTACGATGTTCGCGTGCCTGTGTTACATGTACAGTTGGTATTTCAGCCTGCATACAATCCATAATAGACGTCTGCGTCTTGCTTGTGGTCACCACAATGTCTCGGAAGCAGCATCGATACGATATCTCTTTTGACTTCTTTCCTAGTCCATGCAAACATAATGGGACACCAATGGCGGAAACTATCTATGGTGACGAGCTAGAACAATCAATATCTATCTGATAAATCATGATACCGAAGCATCATCCTCTTCAGTTTGTATCATAATTCGCATCTTTCCCGACTGCTTACGGTATAACTTTGTCTGTTAAGCAGTCGAAAAGTATAACTTTGATAACACCCTGGAACCAGCCTTTCGCCTAGGAAATTCGTATAACTTTCTATTTCATGTCAAAAAGTAAGATCAAAATGCCTAAGCGAAATTAAACTAATAAAGCAAAAACTGTCTGAATAACATTCAACTTCATATTTTTAGCATCGTTTACTGTTACGAATTTATTCAGTCCCTTCTAGATACATTGTATCACCTGTGGATGATGATTGCTCTAAGCACTGCTTCAGCTTCTTTTCGCCTACCATTCGCCTGCTCTATCAATCACAACAACTGCGTACATAGGTGGTTATACACCATCCTGTAGGATCGAAAGGTATTCTCCTTTAGGTTTAATGCGACTGAAGCAGTGATAAACAGTTTCGAAAATTCGATCTAAAACTAATCTCACAAACAGAAATTACAGTTTCCTAATCATATATATACTCTGGGATTTACGGTTCACGATGAAAGTACATTTGATAATACCGAAGGTGTACTTTATATGACTGTCGCCCGATTTTTTGCTGTTTATGTGAATATAGTGAATGTGAGTTTATTGAAAAACATAACTATCAAAAACGTTCTGCAGCTCACTAACCACATCATCTATCTTTTCCCAGAGGAAGAATGACTTCAACAGCACCACTTCCTGGAGATTCGCAGCCATGTCTACTTATATTGCAATAGAGTTGGTAGCTCGGAACATGCTACTTAAAAAGCGGATTAGTCAGTAAGTGTTTCATTGAAAGGTAGAAACCTACTGGTATACAGCCATCATCGGCTTAGTTAATACGCAATGGCTAGCACTTCAGACACGTGCCGGTTTCGTATACCAACGCGCCAAAAAAGCAATTCATTGCTTTCAGAAGGCATATGGTGATCATTGTGACCTCCGATGACACAAACCTCTATTTCTTGCATCATATTAGCTTCAAAGAAGCTGACTATCTGAAACACCCATCTGAACACGCTAAAATAATTTTTATAACATTAAATCTCCCTTGGTGAATTTAGCTCTGAAACCAAGTTCAAAATACTACTATTTTCCTTGTTAGTTGGCCTTTAATTCAGCCTTTCTAATTGATCTCTTTCCATATTCTCACGTATTATCTTTATGAATTTTCATATGAATACCTTAGACAAGTATATGTGTGACCGGTCAGATAGTTTGCAAATGTGTTGCACAAATACAATACACAGTTCAGACAATTTACGTCTGCTTATTGTTCTGTTAAAGTTGATAAAGAGAACTGATTGTTTAACAGGTGTATAATGAAATGCCCTGTGTTCTAAAGAAAACAATGACGCCAAAAACTGGTTACCTCAGCTAAAATCAGTAACAATTTTGTTAAAAGAGATTCTGAACAAAACAATTCATCATGAGATCAAGAGAAGAATGATTTGTACATTCTACACAGGTACACGCTTGCATACACGTGTACTGATAGAAGATATTTCCAATGGATCCATACTAAGCCGTAAGCAAATTGATCATAAGATGTAGAACAAAATGAAGTCTCAAAAATGAGATGATGGTAAAAGTAACTTGCAGGAGATTGGTAGCGGGTAGTTGTGATAACAATGGTGTGACGTTATTGCAAAGACAACGACAATAACGTAACAAACAAACAAGAAATGGGGAAATCCGTCTGGGAATATTACTTGTACCCATTATTTCGAGTATTATAAGGTCATTCATTCACACACACGCACACAGAGAGGATTTATCAGGAGAGAATCATGATAATTTACATGAAAGACAGTTTATTGTAATGTGGACACACATATACATACAAACAAGCAACGTTACAGAAAGGGAAGGAAAAAGGAATACAGATGTGATGCATTTTATATATTGTCTATATATATATAAAGGAAAACCACGGGAATCATAATAAATATAGATGAGATTAAAAGAGATAATGTATAAAATAACAACTAGGAAAATAAACAATTTGTCGAAGAAGGGATATATCACAAATTTTGAATCACTGATACGTTATGATTTGCTGTTGTCAACGTTTTTGGTACTGTCTTCGCTGTTCTCGTTGATTCTGCTGGCTGATCAATTATCTCATGACTGAGACATTGTTGTACAACCACAGTATCTGAATGAACAACATCATCGGCTAGTTTGATGTCAATCGACTGAGGTGATGATGCGACTAAAAATTGTGAAAAGTATTCGAGGAAAAAGCAATTGTTTTACAGCTAAATGGAATTACCATGTTAGTAACACAGAAATCAGGCGTAGAGGTTTAAGCAGGAAACGTGGAACAGTTGATGAAGCTGGCTGAGTCACTTGTAACCCCGACCTAGTCACCGTGAACCCAATGCAAGATGTTGCTTCATGAATATTTAGGTTGGAAAAAGGTTGTAGGTTATAAGATTAGAAGTTGGCATCAGTCCATGAAGTTCCAAGCTCTTGATCTGAACAGGACATTTTTAGTCATACAAAGATTCTGTCGCAACCAGCCAATTACGACTGCTAATGCAAATAAAGTCGCAACACATTTAATCCTTCTCATGTCTGTTATCAAATTATAAATCAGCAAAGACTAATTTCACAGGATTGTCGTACATCACCGCGTATGCCAACGTATCGTCTATATCGACGTGGCGCATCAAAGGAAGCTGAATTAGGTTGGAAGAGGGTTCAGGGTGGCCAGACTGAGACGTGACATCATTCGATAAAGACCTCGACTGTTGATCTCAGCCGTATTGAGCGGAGGATGTCGATTACTTGGCCTGTGGAGACCGAGACGAAAGGAATCAGTGGTTGAGGACTGTTGGTGACATGGCTGAACATCGGGAGATGCATACACTCTTCTTAAGCTTGAATATTCACACTAGCCTATATTTTCAAGTTGTTTATTCTTTCACAACTTTTTCTACTTCGATATCACTCCTTTCCCATCCAGCTGTATTTTGTGTACTACTGTGAAGCGTGGCGACTTGAGCCGATGCGCATGTGTGAGAGGTTCTATGTCGATTTTGTCTGTCTATCTATCGTCGTGCATCTGAGAGATGGGAAGGGTATACCAAGTATAAAGTTTTTCAGTAGTTGTGATCAAAAGACTTAGTTATCATTTTAACCCTATTAAATTACATGCACTATGAAAGACTTCTATAATCATTTTCATTCACATAACACAGGTCAACTGAATATCTTTGAAATAAATAAATTGGTTAATTTTGTGAAAAATTATGTTACTTAAGTGGAGATTGATAGCATTTGACTTGACCAGAAAGAGGAGTGCTTTGATTGGTATTACAATGACGTGCCATAATCTGAAGTCATCTGATTGTACCATAACTGATCTCAATCTGGGATGCAGATAACTTCCAAATCTAATGGGAACGCCTAATCAAATACGGTTGCGGCTCATTAGTTTAGGTTTGACCAATGCATCACAGGTTTAAGTCCCACTCTACCTAGCGACGTTTGGATAGCTAAGTAGCCCAGCTCAGAGAATACAATACAATCAAGATAGCTAGGTAGGCCCTCAAACAATAGTTGTAACTCATTTCCTACTACACGAACGAGCATGTGGTTGCTCTCTCTCTCACACACACGAACATGGAACAATAGAAGTATCTATGCATAGTAGATGAACAATAGGTAAAATCTCAAATATCTGTTATCAAATTCTTTTCAAAGTCTAATCAAGAATTGAAAATAGTCTTGAAAACAAGAATAGATGTATCACTTATGTGCGGTAATAAATTTAACCTGTTTAACCTATTAAGATGGCAATAATCTAACATGATTGGTGAACAGTAAATTACCAACTGTCAACACTCGTTTACATAACATCAATAAAATAGTTAGTCACCTTGATTATTTTCATTTACAGACGAAGTGGATAAATCTTGAACACATTCAGTATCTGTTGAAGTTGACAGTATATTTATAGGAGTCGCCAGAGTAGGAGTAGTAGTATTTGTATTCACATCCGGTGGGCTACTAGGAAATAGTTGTTCCAATAATTCAGGTAAGAAAGTCGACAAATGCTTTTCTGTTAATTCCCAGAGGACGCCTGAACTGGAACCAGGCGGAGCATCTTTGATTAGAATTGGATTGATGTCATGCGTTCCAGTGCACATAACCAGGAGGACATTTTTCAAAGATTCTCGTACAGCATCAGTCTTGCGGGGGAAAGGTATAGAAAAAATAGTTAAGGTAATGATCTTACTCAAACAACCTTTTCCTCAATAGAAAATAATCCAACCTCCATAAAGTGGATTCAGTGACATGGGGAGGATGGGGGGGGGGGTAAGGGGTGAGTGAAAGGATTGAAAAAGTGAGACAGTCTGACAGATAAATATTCGATACCATATCAAGTGGTACACCACGGAATATTGATATCAACTTAAACCTGAAGTAAACATGTGGCAGTCAGAAAATAAGTATCTTTCTCCAAGAAATGATGGAAAACATTTGTGACCCAGGAGAAAGATGATGGATTGATGTTATCTGAGCTTTGGTGTTTTCTTTTGGACGACATCCCACCATCAGGCTTAATAACATCCCCAGTACTAACTTTATAACTAACCACTTTCATACTTTGTTAGACAAATTTCCGAGTCAGCTGATTTATACTTCAAGTGAAAAGTTCAAGAAAATATACTAAAAAGAATATTGAGGATAAATGCGAACCGATTACCAAAAGGATATCTCATCACCATCGATAACTAGGGAACCAGATAATCTAAAATCACTTTCCCGCTATTACTACTCTTAGCAGTTCCACTTGGTGAAGACGTTAATCCAAAGGCTAAATTTGCATACAACGAACAGTAGATTTATTTATACAATTAGAGAAATGAAAATGTTCTGAATTAACTTCAATTATCAGTATTAGATTAATCATAAGAAAAACACTAATGTGATGTGAGCTGAAATAGAATTCGTTCGGTGTACTGCTAGTAAAGCCCATGGACTTATCTCCACATAAGAAAGTAAAATTATACGCACACGTGAATGTTGCCGATAAATGTAACTTTATGTTTGATGTTTTGATGACTAAGAGTTTGGTGCAGAGACAGTAAGATGCAGTAGTCTACCTGAGCTACAAATATTCTACACTATTTTAAGATGCAGTAGGGAGACAACGTTTGTAGAACTTGAACGACTATCCATTCCAGTTGAGCAACACATGATGTTAAGAAGGGGTCTTGAAGCTTTCATATTCACAACCTGTTACTGAGTTTAAACGGACAAGTACTCTAATTCACAGGTACATATGTATAGATAATTTTCCAAAGTGATTTTTTGAAAAAGAATTATCACAACAATCTAGGGAAAATGAATGATGAATGCAGTAACAAGAGAAATATGCATGTGCACGTTTGGTGATACCACCTAATTGTGGTCAGGGTACGGTTCGAACCCCTAACTCATTTGTCGTGAATACAATAATACTCACCAATGAATCGAAGCTACTACTGGCAAGCATATAACTTTCCATATAAGCAAGCATACGTATCCATAGACTGTTGAAGGTATCCAATTCATATAACGGTCGAAGATGTTGTAGATACACTTTAGTTAATAATGGAATAGCACGCATACGTGGGTCAGCAAACTCCACTGTGTGTAAATGATAACCATAACCAATATTGCTATTACCCCCAGTATTGTTAGTAATACTGTTCGCTTTTCGTGAATTCAAAGCAAGTGCTTCTTCAATCGCAATACTTTCTAGGAAACCAGATAATAGTGGAAAGAGTACCTTTGGAAGTAGAAAAATAAGGAAGTGAATTTTAATTTACTTTCACGATAATCATACATAAAGCAGAATGTATCGATAGGTGAGATCATATACAACTGATTCGCGCTGTAAATTTCATTGAACCATAGTAAAACTAATTATCTTTGCAACAAACAACGATTTCAAGGCATTCTGTCACCTTTTCAATTGCGTACAGACTGTGAAAAAGAGGAATACAGTCTACAAAACAATGGCTAACAAGAAGTCCGCAGGTTTCTAGCTCTTGTTACCTCAAACTATACTTATCAATTCACGTGTACACACCAGAACATGTACAATTGGGGGAGAGACAGATGATTGCCAACCAGTCAAAATTGGATAGTTATCTTTAGTTTTAGTCAAAGTGAAAGACGCAATTCTTAAGATGACACAGAACAATTGTGTCTGCAAAATCAAATGTTTGAAAATGTGAGGCTAATCATAGAGGAGAAAGTTGTAATCCCTTAAAAATTAGGATGAACAAATGCAAGTTATGTACGAAACGTCCACCAAATAATCAAAATAAACTGGAAAAAACATATTAAGAAAGGAGATCAGCAACAGCTATACATGAAATTGAAAGTGGACATATGACTGACCGTCATAATGTAGATATTTTTGAACAGGAGGTTTCCATTCACATAAAAAAAACTCAACCCTTTTGAAGCCTTAAATATCTTTACAACACCAAATGCTACAGACAGGAGAGATGGAATAGACTTAATGTCCATTTTCCAAACAATAATCCAACAGAAACTTTAATAGTGACCTTTTCGAATTGAAGCTTCAATAATAATGACAGATATTGATTGACCACTAATAAACCTCGCCTGGTTTACTAGTTCACTAGTTACTAGCCTGTCCTAAGCCCACATAAAGAGGGAAGGTTGGGCATAGAGCTAGCAACCCTACCCCGGAAAACAAATCTAATCGCTAAACAAACTTCAAAGCACAAACGAAATAAAAAAAATAATAACAAAACTATTCCTCGCTGGAATCGGAGAGGAGAAATGACGCCAGTTGGTGAAATGCCTTCAGGAAGCCAATTGGCCGATGTGTCTTCTCTTCCTCGATGAAAGCGAAAGTAAGCATAGAGACATGGAATGTCCGCACGATGTTTGAACCCAGCAAGGTAGCCCAGATTGCAAACGAGATGAAGATGTATCACATTGAAGTGCTTGGAATTCGCGAGAGCAGATGGAATGGGAGTGGACTCTCCAAACTGTCAACTGGAGAATCAATAATCTACTCCGGTCACCCAGATGACAACCACGAGCACACTGAGTTTTGGAGTGGCTATCATGATGTCCCCAACAGCATCGAAGGCTCACATACAGTGGGAACCAATATCCTCCAGCATCAGAATCATGACAGCAAGGTTCAACTCAAAAGGAAGGAAGGAAGGTCACAATCATACAACGCTACGCTATGCACCTACAAATAATGCAGAGTAAGAGAAAAAGGAGGAATTCTACAGACAACTGCAATCAACACTGGACAAGACGTCAGTTGGCGATATCAAAATTCTAATGAGTGACATGAATGCGAAACTGGGAGGGGACAACACAGGAAGAGAACTAACCATGGGTCGAGAAGCGCTCGGTGAGGTGAAATGAACGAGAATGGAAAATTGTTTGCAGAATTCTGCGCATTCAACGATTTGGTGATTGAAGCGAGGCAGTGTGTTCAAGCACAACGATATCCACAAAGCGACATGGATTCGAGTTCACCAGATGGATACACTACAAATCAAATCGACTTTATCTCAATCTCAAGAAGATGGAGACGCAGTCTACTTGACACAAGGTCAAGAAGAGGGGCAGATGTAGGTTCACACACCACTCACTGTCTAGTGCAAGGAGCCTGCCTTCCAAATCAAGTTAAAAGCCTTCAAGGAAACTGGTGATAGACCTCAGTTCAAGTACAACACTCGGAACAGAAACTGAAGGATGAAACTACAAAGGAAATCTTCACGGCAGCCAGCCATCAAGACTAAATAGGAGACATCGAGCAACATCCCTGAAGAAACCTGTGTGTAAGAACACTGGAACTCTTTGAAAGCTATGTGGAAAGAAACCTGCACAGCCGTATTAGGAAGGAAGAAGAAAGAAGACAAGGAATGGGTCTCGACGGATACCTGGAAGCTGACAGAGGAGAGGAGGATGGTGAAGCAGAAGATAAACCAGTGCAAGGATGCTCAACGACAAGAGGAACTGAGCACAATGTATAAAACACTGGACAAAGAAGTGAAGAAGAGTGCAGGGAAAGACAAAAGACACTTCTACGAAACACTGGCAAGTGAAGCAGAACAGGCTGCAGGTAAGAGAGACAGAGACTTCATAACATTGTATCAAATAACCAGGTTGCTATCTGGGAGGGGAGAGATCAACGCAGACAAAGCCAATAAAAGATGATGACGGAAATGTAATTACGACAGAAGAGAAACAATGGGTCGACCACTTCAAGAAGCTCTTGAATCGACCACCGCCACCACCTGCACTTCGTCCAGAAATACCACCTGCAGCCGCTGAACTACAAGTGAACATAAATCCTCCAACAAAAGTGGAAGTCCTGAACGCCATAAAAATGTTGAAATGTGGGAAAGCAGCAGGACTAGATTGGATCCCGCCAGAAGCACTGAGAACAGACGCAGAGACAACAGCGGACATGCTCATACCACATCACTATTGCAGAAGGTGTGGAAGGAAGAGAAGGTACCTGGCTAATGATTGGAAGAAGGGTTACCTTGTCAAACTGCTGAAGAAGGGAGACCTCAGTGTTTGCAAGAACTGGCGCGGAATCACTCTCCTGTCCACCTCAAGCAAGCAAAATATTAAGCCGCATCATCCTGGAGAGGTTAAAGGATGCGCTAGGTTCAAAACTAAGACAGGAACAGGCTGGCTGGATTCAGGAAGTATAAATCATGTGCAGACTAAATTGCAACGCTTCGCATCATCATACAACAGAGTATAGAATGACAGTCAACCCTACACCTCAAGTTTATCGACTTTGAGAAGGCCTTTGACAGCGTCGACCGAGAGGTAATTTGGAAACTGCTTCAATACTACGGAATACCGCAAACCTTTATCTGCCTCATTCAACAACTATATGAAGATGCCACATGCCAAGTAATTCACAATGGGAAGCTCAGTGATGATTTTGAAGTAAAGACAGGAGTGAAACAAGGTCGCCTACTATCCCCCATGATATTCCTGATTGTGGTGGACTGGATCATGCAACAAACAGTGGGGAGCGAGAAGAGGGGGATACGCTGGTTGGACTGCGGAAAACAACCTAGGAGATCTGGATTTCGCCAGTGATGACTTGTGTCTGATGTCACACAAACTGGAAGATCTACAGGCGAAAACTAACAAGTTATCAGAAGAGGCAAGGCAGCGAAGATGGGACTTCAAGTGAATATAGAGAAGACAGAGCTGATGAAGATACCGCACTACCAACAACAACAACAAAAAACTCCAGTCACCATCAACGGGAGAAACTTAAAGGAAGTAACCTCCTTCACCTATCTAGGAAGCACTGTTTCAACTACAGGTGGCACAGACGAGGATGTCAAAGCAGTCAGATTCGGAAAAGCAAGACAGGCGTTCATTAGCCTGAAACCAGTGTGGAGATCTCCTGCACTGCACTCAGCATGTGGAACAAGATCCGGATTTTCAACGCAAACCCAGTCAAGTCACTGCTTCAATGTATGGTCCAGAGACTTGGAGCGTCACGAAAGGGATTTCCAACAAACTACAGACATTCATCAACAACTGCTTACGCTGACTCGATACCGAAGATCAGATGGCCAGAAAGAATAAGCAACACGGAGCTCTGGCAACCAACCAAACAAGAACCTATCACCCAACAAATATGCAGAATGAAGTGGAGATGGATTGGGCATACACTGCGAAGGCCGACTGGGGACATCATGCGTCAGGCCAGTTGCTCGAGTGGAATCCTCATGGTAAGCGACGAGTTGGGTGTCCCAGCTGAGGGTGACATGGAGGAGATCGTGCGAGGAGGAAATGAGAGCTTCTGGGCTGTCGTGGAACCAGGTTCAAAAGATCTCAGAGAACAGAGGTCACTGGAGACGTGCTACTAAAGCCCTATGTTCCATTAGGAACCCAAGGGACTAATAATAAGTACAATAATAATAATAATGTATCTATGATAGAAATGATAATATTAGGTATAGTACTAGACAACTTAATAGATGTGTTGCTGAGTTTCTACCATCATAGTTAGGAAAGGGACAGTTTAAATCCATCAAAAGTTCTGTTTTATCTCACCTCCTTGATAGTGGTCACTTGGTAGATAAGAACAATGCTTTCGCAATTATTCACCATATACCATATCTTTCGAAAAGTACTAGAACTCACCTTTTACGCATAGCAGAAGCTGTGGGAATTTGGGCCACGAATCCTAGTTTGTACATCCCTTATCTCTCCTTTGGGCAGGGAATACTCAATAAATAACTTTATCATTGAAATTTATCTTACCCCTTCCATATACTTACTATATTTGTTGAGACTTTGTTTATCCACTTACTTCATCCTTCAATATTACGTAACTTTTGTTTTCCCAAGCTTTTGACCCACTTTTATTATCAGAGTGTCTACATTATCATGCTGCTTGCTTGGTTCTTATGATCAGTATCATCTATACTACAGCCACATTAGTCAACGTTATCATATTATTATTTGTATTATTATTACCATCGTTATTTCTAAAAAAAATTATCCAATTAACCGATAAATCTTTGTTGGTTTGATTTTTATACATATTTAGCTATTTATATTAGAGTAAGGCATGAAGAGGATTTAAATTGAAAACAATATTGTTCGCTAATACGTCCCATCTTCTTTTGTCAATGGATCCTTTAGTTTGCACAACATGCTGTGTAGTGATTTCGTTAGCTTATGCTCTACTCTGATTCCGAAAAGACGAAGCAATCGGTTGACTGTTTCTCGGATATCTTTGATGTAGGGTAGTGTAAAGCACCTATTGATCTGAAGCGATTACCATACCTTTTGTCCTGCTAATAAACAATTTTTGACAAATTAAAAATGAAATATATATTTTTTCTAAAATCCCAATGAAGTAGAAAAATAATTTTTTGACGTTTCGCGACTTCGTGGAAATCGCTTCCTCAGAGAACAAAACCTGTACAAGTTGTCGATAGTTTTACTATTTAAACTATCGATAACTTATACAGGTTTTATTGTCTGAAGAAGCGATTTCCACGAAGTCGTGAAACGTCAGAAAATTATTTTTCTACTTCATTGGGATTTCAGAAAAAAAATATATTTCATTTGTAATCCAATTACCCAATGCTCAACTTTTAAACTCTATCAGGTCAAATTCTGATCCTTAAGTTTATTTCTTGACAAAGTTGAGCGGATAATCATTGGCTTTGGACACTTTGTACAGGTATTTTTCTTCGGCTTTCCGTAGTGTTTCAGGATTAAATGTTCAACAACAACAGAAACCACTTGGAACTCGTCATCTGGATGTACCTGCACCACAGTGAATGATGTTGTCCCCCCCCCCCCAATGAGACTCGGACCCTGTACCCATTGCTTCAAACGCCAAGGAGTTATCTGCTATGCACGGAGGAACGATAGCCACTTCTTGTACAACGAGTAGTAGTTATTACTATTTACTGACATACTTGGAATTCTCCGTTGTTTTATTGGATCGAATTGTTTGAGTCTCAGCGGGAACAACATCACCCACTGAGGTGCAGGTACATCCAGCTGACGAAATGCACATCCTGGGTTCTTCTGCTAGCCACAACCAAACAAATTACCTTATTAACATTCAGGCAATATCGAGGTATCCACATAGGAACCCATATGTTAACAGAGGTCGAACAATCCGATCCAATAAAACAACGGAGAATTCCAAGTATGTTAATAAGTAGTAACAGGAACAATGTTAATCAACTTTATCTCCAGTAACTCCAAAGAAGCACATAAATCAAGTTTGTTTGCATTTTCAGTGTTTTAGACCAGTCCTGTTCAGAAGTAATAAATCTCTCCAAATTCTTCTTGTTCTGTTTTTCTACTTTTGTCCGGCTTTTATAACCAATTTCACCTCAGCTGAAAGTCAGTTTCTGATTGTGTATTAACATATCTAACGGATCAAATATACTTATGTAATCTTTCCCTTCCATTTCTCGACAATTCGAATGCAGAAGAATCGGGAAAAACACTGGATAATTTTGAATTAGATCAATAATTTCTTCCTTTCTTAATCTCTCATTATTTCCTATCAATGGACTATCTTCTTCTCAATCATAATGTTATATAGATTGTATTTTCTTGTGAATATATGCCATAACATTTTTTATGGTCGGTACGCGGTTGAAAAGAAGGCGATGAAATACCATGGAATCATTATATACCGTAAAATTTATTGAAATTACCTTAGAAGGCGATATATAAGAGTTAAATTACTACTTCTCTTCAACATCTGTAAACCGAGGTTCAGCAGAGGAGTATCGCTCAAAGGTGTATATTACTTTTTATAGTAGTCGATGTGTAGCACATATGTTCATGTTAGCAACAGTCAGTTTTTCCCAGGATTCAGGTCTCAGGAACCAACTAGTTGAAATGACAGTTCTCTGATCAAATTTCGTAGCTGAGAACCCTTTACCGATAGTGACATTTACTCTTTTATTTCGATGGGAAATATTTTGGTCATGTGAATGGAGAAATTGTATCATCCTACGCCACTCTACTAGAAAATAGTGCGAAGTTCTCACCCTAAATATATCATATTTTACGTTACCCGAGACATTGAAAATAGTTTTTAAAAATAGTGCTTACCATATATTTAGTTTATCACAACAAAACAACTTACCTTATCAAAACAATCTTCCCATTGTTTACCACTTAGTGGATGTAAAGTTGGTGATAGCAGAGCTTTTTGTAAATAAGTCAGTGCATCTGTTCTAACATCTCGTCTGACATCTACACAAAGCCTGGCTGTTGCTTGTAGCAAAGGTCGCCAACAATGAATCCACACATAGTCTAGATTTAATTGATTCACACTAGAATTAGTTGACTCGTTAACTACGACCTCTTCTGTGCTCTGCAAGAGTTTATCGCCGTCAACCTCATCTGTTGTTATACATGATGGTGTAACTCGTCCAGAACTTATTCTTGTCCATTCAGTGTAAATTGATGTTGCTCGTGTGAACAATATACTGATAAGGTCAAGAAGCTGTAAGACAAAAGAAAGGGAATGAATAAAGAAGAAGCAACTCTTAAAATGAAAAAAAAAACTATGCGTCTACGTTACAAAAGGTATACAATTGTTGATAGAACTAACTGAGATAACCTCAGTTTACCAAATTGATCCTAAGTGATAAGACGATGCTTTCAGTGGAAACGAAAATCTGGGATTTGAACCAGATACCACTGAGTTAAAAATACTGTCACGATGGATGTTTTCGTTTCAACATCAATAATTCTTTCATTGCTTAGAAACAGGTAATGAAGGTATGCATTATTTTTAAGGCAAATGACTGAGATTTCCACATATTCCTGATACGCAACAATGATATACGTTACGTGGGAGTAATAACTACCAAATCCCATTGGTCCATGACGTGGTCAAAAGGTGATGTAAGAGTTCTGTGATGAAAATTGGTCCTTCGTGTATAAAAACATCCAAACACACACACATACACATACACACATGAGACTGTAAGTAATATAGCCTATAGTGAACACAGTTGTTAAATAATCCACCTACCTGTACAGCAATCACACTAGTTGCTGGACTCAGCATTGATTCACTGAATAATACTCCATTTTCTAGTCTCTTCAACTTTCCATGTTCATGATATTGTTCATTATCTGTGTCAGAATCAGATAAAGCATAATGCTGATTATGATGATTTGATGAAGATCTTGAACGATCTGATCGAGGTCGACGTGGGTCTAAATTCATTTTATTTTTACTGTTGTCATATGATGATAAAATACGATTATTATTTATTATTTCTGGTGGCCGGTGGAGACAAGCTTCACAAAAACTCGTAAACATTGAACAGCGTACTAGAAATAAATGAAAAAGACAGGTAAGTTAGAAATTGCGTGTAACCTTAGTTTTATGATAGAGCAGTTGATATATCAAGGAAATCAGAGAAATATAGTTAGTCCCTTTTATGAATTTCGATAGCGTAATTAGAAGACGAAGTTTATCTGAACAATGTGATGTATTTGCGCAATTCATTTCGAACAATCTGATCACACTATATATATTAAACCGAGGACTGGGGGGGGGGGGGGGTGGGTGACAAAATGCATTGCGCAAATACATCACATTGTTCAGATAAACTTCGTCTTCTCATTACCTTATCGAAAATAAGAGTTAATTATGAATCGCAAAGGAGTCCGCATTATACTGTACGTATAACCGAAGTCATCAGCAGATACAATACAATGGTCGCAAAATAGCCTTATAGGATCTATATTCAGACTGTACAAGTTGCACCCCTACAAGACGAATCAGAACTACTGTCAATCAAATTCCCGTGATGCTAACATTCTCTACTGTTCTCATTTGTTGACATACTGACCGGGCTGTCTACACATCTAAGCCTTCATAACTTTTTCATGGATTTATTCACTGTGAGGTGATGAAACATATTTGTTTTCAATCTCAGAGAACCGAAGAGGGAACTTAAATTGTAGGTATGATGAGTAACAACGGCCACACCATCACCTCATGAACATAACAGTAATCAACTTCATCTATTGTCAGCATTCATCACTGAAGAGCATTTTACGGATGCTCCTCTGCCTAATGAGAGTATCTTTTAACTAAGTAATTGTGAGACAGTACACCTCAAACTAGCTGCTTCAAAAAACGTCATTCAAACGGTATGGGCAAAGTATACACTCACTCACTTCTACCTTTGGGTTGTGCGTTCACGAAAATTCATGAAAATAGATCTTTTACCAGTTCGAACTTGTCAGTTTAGAGTACTTATAGTCTAGAATTACAGTTACATCAAATCTCAAATATTTAGCAGCTCCCATAGAAAACCTACTATTGAAATCCTCAAGCAATTTTGAACTTAACATAAGTATCAGTTTCGAAGCATTAATAATGTTTTTCGAGGTTGTAGACACATCCTGTTCATGAGAGTCAAAAGCATAACACGTAAATGAAGCCAAGTCTCGTATCAACATGAAATACGACGTAGGACAAGTTAATTCATAGAATTCTCTATTAGAATTGGAAACTACGTAGAATAATATTAGCCACCTGTTCATCTTTCAGAACATGATGAGTTTTATTTCATATCCCAGAGGCTTTTACGAACAATAAATCACCAGTGAAATATTATTCAATAACTGGTAACCAGAGAAGAGTAAACTGTAAACTAGTTAAACGAGAAGCAGGATTTTGTACTAATAAATATTCCCTATCATATTTCACTAATCTGGAATGTAGCCTGCTGATATGTGATTATCACTTAAAAGAGTTCGTTTTACCAGAAATAGCCTACATCAACCGCAAAACTTTCATATAGTTAGGAGGAAAAAAATTAGGAAGCAAACAAACCTCAAAATTATCTGGTGTAATATGAGCAGGATCACGAATTAAAAAGGCCAAACAGTCAGCAGCTTGTTCTAATGTGACTGGATCACGTGAACCAATCGCTACTTCGAAACTCAGCACTAACGGAGATGTGAGTAGAGATGATTTATCAATAAATGTTTGTATTCCATCTATCGACAATTTTGGTAATACTTCATAAGACTCTGAAACATCATTTTTATTCAGTTCAGTGACTTTTGATAATGAGTCAGTCTGTTCAGGATTCTCTTCTGGTATTCCATTAGTGTTCTGTATCTCAGATAATTGCAGGGATGAAATACTTGTCACAGGGAGTGTTTCATGAACAGTACGAAGTGTTTCACTATCGCTTGTGTAACCACGATTTGATTCATGTGGATTGGATTGGAATTGTGTTCGATGATTTTCAGTTGTCTTTCGAAGTGTATGTTTACTAGCATCTAAACAAATAAGCAAAGGGGTAAGTTTAGAGGTAGGATTCATGAAAGAAATCTAAGCAAACAGTATTTTTTCTCAGAATTTCTTTTTGCATGGAGGTTTTGGAACAAGGTTAGAAGGGCCCCTTCTCCCCTCACACACAAACATCAATCTTGCAAGTTTTAGTAAAACTACCTAGTTACCATAACTTTAGTAGACTGAGTGAGATTGGACAACTGCATGAAACACGTTGCACTGTAGTCAACATATCGAGCACAGTCTCCAAATTGATCCAACAGTCCAAAAACAACATTCTTCAAAAAAAAAGAATACAAGATGAAAAAAAGTGAAAGTTCACGGTACTTCGAATGTGAAAAGGGTTTTTTTCTCTGTGATTGGATGTTTTCGTCACTTCACAGAAATAATCAATATACGGTCATGGAAAAGTTACGGATTATATGTTCCTTACAACTTACTGATTGCACATAACGATGAAATATAATTTACTAGGATAACAGGTAGAACATAAACTATTGTTGATAATAACTTTGAATAGGAAAAAACTGATATGGAATTATAATCTACATTAACGTGTATGTATTATTCCTGTACGCTTAATTCCTATAACATAAAGTTTGATAGTTTCACTAATTATCAATCCACAACTTTCTCTTTGGCCAATTCACTTCATTTAGTCTAAGGAGATTAGACTTGACCGAGTAGCCAGTGCAATTACGACAAACAAACGGTTACGTATCACACATTCACATGACAGTCAGGAGAAACCATCGGTTACCGATGTGAAGTTAAGAGCTGGTGAGTAATCGGGTTTGGTAGGTTAGCTGATTGAGTGCCAGGCTGGAAATCCGGAGACCATTGGTTGGAGTTATCACCCGAGCCAGGTTTCAATTTAACCCTCAGTCATTACTTCGTATTAGAAATACTAGTGTGTCCAATACAAACTATTTAAGGTAGTCTCAATAATATCAATAAATAAGTGTCACTTTTTCAGATGTGCAGTAATTCAACCACAATAGATGATCCAGATAGATGACAGGTGGTCTGCATGAGTGACACGGTGAGTATAAATATACACTAGGCTGTTAAAGAGCTGTAACTCATGAAAACCAATTTGCGTTTCACAGCAATTTACCGATTGGCATGGTTTACTTGTATGTTGCGCATGTAGAGCAACTGCGTATACCTCAACGCGCGGCTGGAACCAAAGTAGGCAAATTTACTTGTTGGTGGCTAACAGTGGAGTCCAGGAAGCGACTTCCGTCCTATTTCGGACTCGTCAGCTGAATGCACCTGAATCTGAGTAGGTGATGTTGTTCCCACTGAGACTTGAGCCCAATACCCGTCGTTCCAAACTCCAAAGTGTTATCTACCGTGCCACCAAACAAATTAAAGCATGATGAATAATCAGGCAATATCGACGCATGCGAATATAGAAGCGTATATACCAAGGAAGGTAGATCAATTTGATCCAGAATTACAACAGGAAATTACAGTTATCAATATATAAAGAGTAGGTAAGGGGGTTGGGAAAAGGGTAAGTGCGTGCAGACTAATACGTATTATTAATCTACGAAGTCTCTGAGCCGTGTTAGTTGCTTGGATGGGGTCCACATGATTTACGGAACAAATGGTTCAGAATCTACCCCTCAGATTCACCCTTCATCATTCTCTACCTTATTATATCTTTCTACTGGTTTGCCTTGATACTGGTTTACTTCAGTTTAACTATGAATCATTAGTTTTGAGTGAGATCAGTGATCACTGACATAATGAGCATGACAGTTGGTAAGTTTCAAAGGAAGATACTCTCTTATGTTATTTGATGTAATGCTATACTCGATCAAAAGGAATTTATATCTAGAAGAGATAATTCTCCCCCAGAAAAACCAATTGTAGAAATAATGGAAAAAGAAAAGGATTACACAACTGTTTAGTTATCATGTCTTAGTGCACTTGAGGTTTGGCAAAACCCACTCTTCCCAACAAAAATCTTCTCACACTGTCCTCTTCATTGGCTTCACGTGAACGTAGTGTTTCGTGTACCACTGGAAGCACGAGGGCAGTTGACAGTTTCCAGCTGACTATGACGTGAAAGGGTAGTTCTTCTTGAGGTGCCTGAAAAAAGAATGGATAGCGCATGACCCTAGACCCCAAGGGAATTCTGTTTAAGACTAGTCACAGACGGCATCTTAGCTTTCGAATCCGACTATGAATCTCTGGGTAGATATCGACATGCCACGAAGTGATGGGTGTGCTGTTTTTGGGATCAACATTTTCGAAACCCCTCTTTCGATAGAAAAGGCAGCATCAGCGTGATATTGCTGGTCATCCAAGGGAAACACCTTACTGCGATCACACCCCTATCCAGCCACCAGTACGACTTCACCCTCAGACTCTGACTATTGGTTTGAGCCATATAGGGAGATGAAGACTATCTGGCTGTGGTTCGCAAGACGACAGGAATCAGCATCTGCTAACAAATCAGGTCCCTGAAGATGAAAAAAGTGGAAAGCAATCCTTCTCAAAGTTCTTATTGAAAAAATTTCACTTAAGTGCCAGTGAAGCCAAGACACATGTGGATATATATATATAAATATATATATATATATGGATGGGGAACACATGTATCTACCGGCGATAATCCCAATGATGACTACTCTCGGCGACAACTTTGATAATAAAAACAACTACTATTAATATTCCTATGATAACGCTTGCAGTCTATCTCTTCAAGATGGATACGGGCAGCTGAAACAGTACAAATATTTCACTACTTGAAGTTAGTCAAAACCTTATGAGTCATGTAATATGAGACAGATAAAAACAATTTAAAACTAGTAACAATTTTCGATTCACTTGAATTGTTATAAGACTTCATACAAGCACAATGAAAGCGAAACAGCTAGATGAGAAACAAGAGTAAATTGAGATTGAATTTTTCAGTAACTGTTAAGGACTACCTACAAATGGATAGGCAGGCAAAGATAGATGAGAACACAAAGTTAAACGTCTGGAGCGATAAAATTTTGAAGATATGTGGTAACCCAGGATTTAGGCGTAAGCGACTGGAAACTATGAGGCTGAAGAAGAGCATTGTAGCCTTAGAAGGAATGTGTTAAAAGTATCCACTTCACTCGTGTCGTCATAGATGAACAAATCGTCTCAGTTAATTAGTTTGGTGCGTCACACATGTCTACAGTGACATGTATTGGATCCTTTCAGTTGAAAGACAATTGCCCGATAGATGATAAAATATAGATCATCATTTTACACGAGGATAATTTAAAGAATAAGAATATTAGTCTTACGTCATTTTAACAGATTAGTTAGATAACTTACACCTGATTGGCTGATCACCAACCAATCAAATCATTCCATATACAAGGTTGCTTCTTGAACTCTTGATCCGGTTAGGTTGTCTCAAGCATTTTAACCAGTAGGCGCCCCACTAATTTAAGCATCTGGCTGCTTCAATTCATGCAAAAATATATCAAAACATTGTAAACTAGGCTTATAAATTAGTTTATTATTCTTACCGTCTCGTAGGATATTCGCTCGTCGACCAGCACCGCATACTTCGAGTAAACCAAAGATAAGCTTCCAGTCTGTAGTTGGATCTGGTAAATCAGCAGCATGATTTCTTAACAAGTCTGTTAAACCAGCAATCACCTGTCGGCCAACACGTGAACCTTGCTTAAACAATAATAATAAAGTGGTGTTGATACTACTGCCGCTGTTATTACTAGCATTATTCCTAGTAATAGGCCTTTTGTTGAAATTACGTGAGTTCGATAATTTCGGAGAAGTGATATTATTCCCTGATTGTAATGCTGTCGGTGATGATAATTCATTGACATAGTACATAAGCTGTTCACCATGGTTTAATAACAGCCAATACAGTGTTGCGAATATCTAAAATATTTTGCAGGAAAAAAAACCAATAAAAGCAGTCATGAAAAATAAGTTGGTCCGCTAAGATAGGTTATTTAATCAAGAAGAATGATGGTAGATGGCGTAGCAGCATTATAGCGACAGGCTAGCATTTTGTTAACTGTTTCTTATACAAACCTTCTTGCTTTTCCTGATTGTATGACACAAAATCTCCATTGCATATAAGTGACTATCTTACGTCGTCAATGTTCCAATTCCAATCTAAATGCACTCAACAATCTTGTGCACAATCGTGCAGTAAGCAACGAACCACGCCTATTGTATGAAGACTAGTAATACTATCTAGACGTTCAAACCTCGGTAGGTGTAACAGAGCTAGAACCCGTGAACCAGTGGTTGGAAGTCATCTCTCTAAGCCAGTGAGCCACAACTCCAATGTTCGGATTTCCATTACCATGAAATATACATACGCCTAGCCAGCTGACCAACACTGTCGTCTTTTGACATTCACCAGGCTGAACTTTAAGAATGGTTACCGTTTAATTATAAAAAGTCAACTGTGTCAACTGGAAGGTTAAATATTCTAATGAGTCCACCAAAGTCTAGAAATTAGTTACCTCGACATCAGCATAGTATTTTGAACAGACGTGTGCAACTGACGTACGAAGCGAGAGAGCATGAGGGTTAAGGTATTAAGCATAGAAGACAATAGAACAAACTGCAGTGTGACTTACCAAGTAAGTAGAGATCTGTGCATTAGTGTATGTGAGCCATACATATTGCCTAACTGTTCGTGATATTACGTGAACTGAAGTGATAACTTCGAACTTCATGATCTAGTGGTTGTGAATCAAGAGCTTGCATCGCACTCAATAAGCCATAACATCATAACGAAATATCCAGCAGAAGATAAGACACTTTGATGACCCAATATTCATTGTCAAAATCCACTTAATACCGACTAATAAGTTTATCCACTACACTGATTTGCTATCCTCATTTCAGTCGTTAGCCGTAGCATTCATACAGAGTTTGAGACTATGACCTATACACTAAACAGTAGATAAGTTGTGTAAAAGACGGAAGACTGCTATGTACCCCTAATTTTGCATAGCATCGCCTTCTATTTTGCCTATTACCTTAAAATAACCTACATAGCTGTTTTTAACTGTTGATAGTTTTTCTTTCCTCTGCTCTCAAGGCTAAACTCTCTTCGGTTGTTAACTATTTTTACCTATATGTGAATTTAGTGTCTGTCAAGATCATTTAGAAATGTATATATTCAGCATCGCCGTCCACTGTATTTACTGTTGTTGAGACAGTAGAAATCTCTCTGTCAACGGACTGTCTTTTCTTCTTGTCTTCGCACGTCAGTGGTATTGTTGTTGTAGTGGTTGACGTTCTGATTTGCGTTAGAGTCGATTCGTTTATGCACTAGGTTCGTATTGTTTGCAATCTGCTAGGTTCATATCGCTTGTAGGCTGCTAGGTCCTACTATCGATTATAGCAAAGACCAATAAGCGATGTATTACATAACAGCTAAATCCACCTCAGTTTAAAAAGATAAACTATCGCTGGTTCGATTTGTGCTGAATTTTTAGCAGAATTGACTAAGAAATGTCTGTCTATTGACTGATTAAACGATAACTGAAGAATGAGCAAATCTGTTAGTGATAAGCTGAACTACAGTACATCAAATAAAATGATGAATTTGAATTCAGATTGGATTCAGATTATTTCAATGGAATAGCAAATATCAGGCAGTATCACAATGAAACTTGATGTCACTCACTGTGTAACAGTCCCCATGGTTACAATCCAAATTAGCATATCAAGGAGCAAGGTAAAGAGATTAAAGATTTTTTCTTAAAATAGAAAACAAAATGTAATCAAAGAATTTGTAGAAAGTTATGAGAAGAAAGAAAGAGGGGAGTAAACGAGTAAAGAAATATGCTACGGCGATCAGAATGAAGATAATCTGTGGATGTATATGCTTCACTGACATGGATTCTCAGTCAGATAATCATAAGTCTTCACCCATTGGTTCCGATTGTCATGTGGTTTGAAGCCAGTTAGTCGAAATTTCCCACACAGCTCAGACCAACAGTCAGACTTCATACACCTAAGGCAAGTTTTAGTTTGATCATGTTTAACCTTTTCCAGTTTTACACTACTTCAGCTACCGTTAAACATGCAGGTAAACCTTCAAGGTTTAAAACCTCATCAAATGACTTAGCTCTTTAACTTCACACTATATGCGAAATTTTTACATTAATAATGTGGTAGTCTTAGGACACATAGTCAAAATCATGCAGCCCTATGTTATTCACTTTGAATGACAATGTTTCACAGTCATTCCTTACGACAGAGTTAGACCGTATGCAGTAAACTTGGAAGTAAGTCAAAACCTTCAAGTACATGACATCATGAGACAACATTCCCACTATAAAGATTTACATAGAAAAGAGTCCCATCAATTAGGGCAACAAAGGTATGCGAAATGAAGGGGGTTAAAAGTCGGTCCATAGGCGAACATACAAACAGATAGATAAATACAGAAACTCACTTGACTGGTAACTTCGTGTCGACGTAATAAACAGATAGCTAGACGCAGGAAGCCAACAATTATTCTTTCAACAAGAAGATTTGGAGAACGTGCAGACAATAACAAATCAGCTAGATAATATCTTACCAACGGCCAAAATCCAGCCAATCTGTCACGATTATGCATTAGAACACGAATAAGTAATTCCAGGCAGAATATACGACAGTCATCCAATACACTGGAGGTGCCACCACCTCCAGTAGTATTAGAGTTGTATGATGAATAGTAAGATGATGTTGTTGAACCAGCACCAACACTAGTCCATTGTAGTAACGATGGTGGTGGTGAAGATGACGAACCGGAATTTCGATGCACTCCAGTAGAGTTATGCTGTGGTGGTGGAACAACAGCAACAGCTGATCCTTCAGTTTCAGGTGAACAAACAGTTGACTGGGAAGAATTTGAAGTTATGCCTGAATCAGAAGTTATGCAGATATTTTGTAAGGATTGAGAATCAGTATGTTGTAGCAGTAGTAATCCATCTATAGAATCAGCATCAAAATTGTGCGGTAGAGTAGCATAGGCATCACCACGAGTCGCGCATAGCAAAGCCTGTTAGGTAAGAAAACAAAGTTCACAACACTGCGATGACAAAAAGGGCCAACGACATATAAGGAATCAATATAAACTCTATGGATGGTAATTCTGTAGGTATGATATTTATTCATATATATATATATATATATATATATATATATATATATATATATATATATATATATAGTTTACTAGCTGGTCCTAAGCCCTGGTAAAGAGGGGAGGTTGGTCATAGGGCTAGCAGCCCTACCCCGGGAAACCAATTCAATCGCTAAAGAAACTCCAAAGCACAGAGAAAATATGAAAAATAAATTTATTCCTCGCTGAAATCGGGGAGACGAAATAACGCCAGTTGATGAAAGCCTTCGGGAAGCCAACTGGCCAATGTGTCTTCTTTCGATGAAAGCAAAAGCAAACGTAAGTATAGGGAAGTGGAATGTCCGCACAATGTTTGAAGCTACTATCTGGGAAGAGATCAACACAGACGAAACCAATGAAAAATAGTGAAGGAAACCTAGTTAGCAAAGAGGAGAAACTAAGGGAACGATTGGCTGACCACTTAAAAAGAAACATCTGAATCGACTACCATCAACAACCCACCCACAGAACTATCAGTGAACACAAGGCCTCCGACAAAAGCAGAAGTGAAGTCCTTAGGGCCATAAAGTTGCTGAAATCCGAGAGAGCAGCAGGATCAGGTGGAATTCCTCCAAAAGCACTGAAAATAGACGCAAAGACATCAGAGGGTATGCTCACACACCTATTGTACAAAGTTTGGAAGGAAGGAAAGAAAGGTACCTGCATGCTGATTGGAAGAAGGGCTACCTTGCCAAACTCCCAAACAAGTGTGACCTAAGTCTTTGCAAGAACTGAAGAGGAATCATGCTCCATCCCTGTCCACACCAAACAAAATATTAAGCCGCATCATCCTGGAATGACCGGAATAGGCTGGCTGGCTTCAGGAAACAACAAACCATGTGCAGATCAAATTGCAACGCCACGCTACGCATCATTATAGAAAAGAGCATAGAATGCCAGACAAATCTTTACCTCAACTTCATCGAATTTGAAGTAATCGACCGAGAAAAAATTTGGCAACTGCTTCAACACTACGCTTTCAGTGCCACAAATCTTTATCAACTTCATGACGATGCTAAATCCGAAGTGATTCACGATGGAAAGCTCAGCAATGAATTGGAAGTGAAGACAGGAGTAGGACAAGGTTGCCGCCTACTATCACCGATGATCTTTCTGATTATGGTCAACTGGACTGGATCATGCAACAAACTGTGACTAGCGAGAAGAGAGGCATACGCTATTTGATTGGTGGAAAGACCCTACAAGAAGATTCGGATTTCATCGATGATGATTTATGTCTAGTGTCTTGTGACACAAACTAGAAGATCTACAGGCAAAATCCAACAAGTTGACAGAAGAGGTAGGGCAGCGAAGACTGGACTTCCTTCAGATGAACGTAGAGAAGACAGAGGTGATGAAGATACCCAACCAACAACAACAACAAGCACCAATCGACATTAACAAAGAAACCTAAAGGAAGTTGTCTCTTTCACCTACCTAGGAGGCAGCATCTTTTCAACTACAGGTGGCACAGGCATAGATGAGGACGTCAAAACCAGGATCGGAAAGACAGCAAGACAGGGCTTCATCAACGTGAAATTAGTGTGGAGATCTACTGCACTCAGCATAAAGTGTGAACAAGATGTAGATTTTCAACACCAATGTCAAGTCAGTGCTTCTATGTGATGGCTGAGAGACTTGGCGCATCACGAAAAGCATTTCCAACAAACTACAGACATTCATCAACAGCTGCCGCCCACGCTCACTCGACATTGAAGACTAGGTGGTCACAATAATAAGGATAAACAACAAGGAACTCTGGTCTGGCAACGAACCAAACAAGAACCCATCGCGCAACAAATATGCAGAAGAAAGTGGAGATGGATTGGGCATACACTGCAGTGGTGCAGTATGCTCGTCGTTTGATAGGTACTCGGATATCCCGCCAGTCGGCGCCACAGATGACGCAAGTTGGCAAATGCTAGATGGACATTCGGTATCCGAAGTGAGGTTTAGTTAGCACCCAGCCCGTTTGAACTGATACAACTTCTAAATTAAGTGAAGTGTTCGACATATTCCATCACTTCACCTCCTATTATAAAGTGGGGATACCTACAACTGAACAGTACTGGAACATCATCTTATATTTCAGATACCGGTGGAACGCTTGTCATCACAGTTCTGCTAAACGGGTTCACAAGATTCCGTATTTTTTTTCAGTGTCTTCCCCTACCAGAACAATATCATCTCTATACTCCAAGTCAACCAGATGACCTCCAGACAGTAAATCATACGTACCACTACATTGAGAAACCTTTTCTGAGGCCTAATTAAACCTATGTCAGTATCATACAGAGTCGCTTAAGCATAACTTGATCGATGTGTACAAAAAGCCCTGTCGTATCTTCATATGAAGAAGCTAAGACGAAAGCCTGTTTTTTTAAAACAGGAAACATCAACTGACTTAATTATGGTAACAAGCTAATTTTTTTTAGCAAATCAGCTATGATAATCTTAACTAGTAGTAGAAAAAAATGAATCAGGATAACACTCACTCACTTTAATCAATTCAGTCAACGAAGCATCAACTAAAAATTTACTGTCTTCAATCAAATGTTCAACATGACAGTGTAAAACAATCTCTGAGGCAAAACGGGAAGCTGTCTGTTCATCTAACTGACCACCACGAGTGGCAGATGACAGTAAATGGCTTTGATTCAGAATTAAACTGCTTAGAAGTTTGCTTTCATTCTGACTGAATGTTCCACTATCTATAGAGCTACTCTTCACTGATCTACGGTCGAACGATGAGGAAGAGATTCCACTGTCTTTGTCTAACACAACTCTATCGTAATCATCATCATCATCATCATCATCATGGCCATTGTCACCAATGTAATCATCGTCGTCATCTTCTTCATCACCTGAACCGATCCATGATGATCCAGTTGTCAAATATTGATAGAATGAACTGAAAACGCCTAATTCACTGGAGGTTGAATAAAAACAAACACTGAAGTGACAGCAATATAAAACCAAGCAAAAGAATGATCAATAATGACAGGAAAAGCTAATACTGAATGATGATTAGAGATGAATTGAAAATTTGGGCCACGGCAGGATTCAAACCAGCGATAATTATCTCAGAGAGTCAAAGTGATAGTCAATATGATGCTTTCCTTCTCTAATTCGCGTAGATTTGCAGTGGGGATAAGAAATCCTGACTCAGGAGCCAGTGCGAGTACGATCAAGCGGTAGTAAGGCGTCATGAATCCACATGGTAGTCGTATAAAACCCTAGATGATTTAAGGTGAAGTGAAAATTTCGAGTTTCATAACTCAGCTGGTAGAGCACGCGACTGGAAACCAGGTGGTTGCTAGTTCGAATCCTGCTCCAACTCAAATTTTCATCCCACTTTCAATCATCATCCAGTATCAATACAAGTCTGGCTATCTCAGGTAGCCAAACTAATAAAGAGATAAATAACCCTGCTAACAGATTTAGTTTATATTTCTTAACTTCGAGAACTTCAGTAGTCGATTTCTGTACAGATAATTGCATAAATAGCAAATAAACTGCCTGATAATTGCAAATGTAACTTTCTCTGGATCTGACTATTTGAATACAACAAAATTCGTCCACAATTACTCAAGCTTACGAGTCAGCGATGCAACAAAGCCACTTAGGTTATTAAATGAAGATTACTTTTCAAAGGCGTGGCATGAAATAACAGTTAACGAAAGTTTGTGAAAGAAAAAGGTGTAGTATACAGTACTGCAGTTTGCTTTGTTCTGCTAAATGGCTGTGAAACATGGCCACTGAAGGCAGAGGGGATGAGAAGGCTCCAGGTGTTCAACTACTGTTGCCTTCGTAGCATGTGCCGCGTATCATGGTGTCACCACGTAAGCAACTCAAACGTCAGGTGTACAGTTTTAGGGAAGAGAGGAAAAACAGTCGATAAGGCGGTGAACCTTCATAGACACAGGTGGCTAGGGCATTTGTTACACACGTCTAGCGAACGTTTGTTGATATGATATGTCGTAATTTGGAGTTTTATGCTGTAATGCTTCGTCCTAAGTTGATAATCACGATGATGATGACAAATAAGCACTAAGTAATACCTTAAAACCGCTTCTCGATAAATTGTCTTATAAAATAAACACATTAGGTAAATTCTCCCCACTTAAATTTGATTTATGGGAGTAGTAAGTGAGGTTTATGAAAAAATACCAGCATATTTACTCATCCGACATCACGCGCCAGGCCCTTGAGTGGAATTCAAAGGGGAAACAACGAGTTAGACATCCCAACTGGTGACGTGGAGGAGATCATGTGTGGGAGAAATGAAAGCTAGTAGGCAGTCAAGGTGCCAGGTCCAAAAGACTGCAGAGAACAGAGTGCGATGGAGGCGTACTACTGAAGCCCTATGTTCCACTACGAACCCAAGGGAAAAATAATAGTAATTCACTCATTCATCCATCCATCCAAATCAACGTAGGACCAGGCATTACTGCGTAACATTTCGAGTTGCCACACCTCATATCAGTACATCAAATAAAAAGGCAGTGAGGTGAAGGATGAAGATAAGAGAATGCAGTCAAAAGAAATACAAAGTACGAGAACGATGAAAGGAAGAATGACAAAATAGTGAGATTCGGTATAGCGTCGTTAAGATGAGGATAATGTGTGTGTACATCTGCATCACTGACATCGGTTCTCAGCCATATCACCTAGAGTCTCCAACTACCGGTTCCTCTTGTCCCGCCGACCCCAACCACCCAGTCTACATCGCCTCACATGGCTAAATCCAACAGTCAAAGACTTCATACATTGGTGCCATATTTTAGTCTGGCCACCTTCGGCCTTTTTCCAGCCTGGACCTACCTCAACCAACATTGTGTGATGAAGGTTTACAACCGTGTCAACTAACTTACCTCTTCTCTCTAAAACTATACACCTGACTTCTGCATTACTCACGTGGTGACACCATAAAACACGGCTTATACTACAACGGCAACGGTGTTCAAGCACTTGAATCCTTCTCACACCTTCCACCTTCAATGGCCATGTTTCACAGCCATACAGAAGAATAGAGCGGACCGCTGTGCAGGTGCAGTACACACGACCCTTAATAGACAATCGGATATCACGATGGCACCATAGGTAGGGTAAGTTGGCAAAGCCAGTCGAGCGTTCGTCAACTAATAAACTGAATCCCAGTGGGACAGTTCAAATTAAACCTCCATCCCATCGTATCGAATAAAACAAATCTTTTATCTCAGACAGATAGGCACGCAGACAAAACCAACGTAGAACCTAAAACGCAATTCCATCGGGTCAAGTTACCACACTTTACATTAGTGCAGAAAAAACAGGTGGATAGAAAAAGAGTGATATCACAAAGTAGACAAAGTTATGTGACAGAATAAACAATTTGAAGATAGAGGTTAGTGCAAATATTCAAGCCTTAGAAGAGTGTATGTATCTGCCAGTGTTCAGCCATGTCACCAACAATCCACAACCACTGATTCCTTTCGTCTCGGGGTCACCAACCAGGTATTCGACATTCCACACGAATCAGACCAATAGTCAGGGACTTCATTGACTGGTGGCACGTCTTGATCTCGTTACCCTGAACTATCTTCCAATCGAATCCAACTTCCCTTAGCATGACCGCCTGCTTAAAATTTGGGTTACAAAACCGTTCCATCATATATATAAAATCAAATTTCTCATATTGTACTTATTTCAATTATTCAATTGTGAACTTATCGTAAAATGTACTCTCACACCTCAGAATGTCTCCATTTTATCGTCACGCTAGTTAACAACAAAATTGCCAAAAAAAATCACGGAAGATGTCAGTGGGCTCTTGAGTTTACAAAAGTTTATCACATTACTATGAATGGGATGGTTAATGGGAATTGCAAACTTTTACGCTGGTTGAATAATCCACCACCGCCAAACCTACGGGTGCTTTTCCATTCGTCTCTGTGCAGCAACATACCCACAAACTAGACAACAAACTAAAAACATCTGGCCGTTGTATATTATTGATTATCATACTGCTTATATTAACATTATTTAACAGCAATGGTCATTTAATTTGAAAATACTGTAGAAGGAGTAAATTTCTAACCATCACACTGAAATTTTCATACTGTATTCGAAAACAGTCTGGAATAAAATGATTATTATTATTGAAACGGTAAGTGGAGGTAGGCGGTAGCTCGCTTGGGATGCACAGTACATGTCCAAGGCATCTCAGTCAACTAAAGTACACAACCTCACCAATCGACTTGCCTGTCTTGCCTAGTACCTTTCACTTGTCCTAAGCACTGTTAACACGGTAATCCTACCGAATGCGACCAATTCTACGAAGACACTTATGAGCGAAACTTTGTAATCGCTTCGTATCTTCTACTTTTTAACAGCCGTATCTCACATCTGTATGACAGAGCAGAACGGAGTGCAGAGCAGTACACTCATCCTTTGATGGTTAGTCGGATATCTCACCAATCAGCGCCAAAGATGACGCAAGTTGGAAAAAGGCACAATGGGCCTTCTGTATCCGAGTTGAGCTTTTGTCAGCATCTCAAAGGATGGAAAGCAAAGAAATCTCGAGTCAACTATTACTAACTCTTAAATTTCACTATTGGTTAGAACAGGTATAAGTCAGTGACGCGAGCGTCCATGCAGTGACAGCGACATACAGAATACCGAGTAAAAACTGTATAAAAAGGCACAAAACAAGCAACCAGCAACAGACGAGAGAAAGCAAAAAATGAACCGTACATAAATGTATATCGACCAGAGATCAAAGAAAACACAGTCGAAATATTTATTATTCGGTGTCAATTTCATAAGTGGTATTCATCAGAAGTAGGTTTGTCATCAACATTCAGCACTTCTGAATTTGAGCAAACTGCATAAACTAGGCAGGTAACAGTAATATACTTGAAGATCAATGCTACAGGTAGAGGTAATCATTCTTTTATTTCAGTAGTATACTTGGTCAGCAGTTATGTGTGTATGTGTTAGGAAAATAACATGTGAGAGGGGGAAAAAAGCCAATCTATTGATAATACCGCAACTGGTGGAGTAGTGGCTCATTGGTTTAGGGAGATGACTTTCAACCAGCGGGGCACGGGTTCAAATACCTTTCCCACCTACCGAGGTTTGTGTACCCAGGTAGTATCATTAACCCTCCAACATTAGGTGTAACCTCACTGCCTAATGTACAAATGTGAGCAAGGTTGCTGAATGGATTTCAATTCGAATGACGTCACTGAACCAAGAAAAATAATACATAGTGCATGTACACACACACACACACACTTACCGGTTGGAGTTAGCGTTTTGTGAATGTGGATTCTTCTGTTTTTGTTTACGTGAAGACTTCAACTCCTTTTTTATTGGTATACAACCCTTAGTGGTTACATAAACTTTACGAGATGGAGCTAAAAAGTCTTGTGATTGTAATAATTCACTAGGTAGAAGATTTGCACGGAATAATTGAAGTAGACAATCTAGTAAAGAATGCCAACCATAGCGTAAAATATCAGCATGCCTAGAAGAAATACTGAAAACTAAGCGTAGAGCAAGACAAGCCTTGGTATTTCGTCCAAGCAAAATTGGAAGAATTGTAGGATTCTAAAATATAATCGAATAGAGAAAGCTAATAAAAGCAGGCAACCAAATACAAGTACGATAACAGTTTAGTTGAAAGTTATAACTATCCAATTGTTGGAATGCTCTCCAATGAAGATTATGACTCACTGACTCATGCTAATGGGTATTAACTGTTATCATACGATAAAACGCAAATAACTCTTTTAGTTGTTGGTTGGAAGCGTTACTGGAAGTGTGCAGGAGGTTGACACTTTCAATAGTAAGAACAAGGCATATATCAGCGAAGAAATATTTCTTTTCAACGACTTCATTATCAAGCTGTACAGTCGTATTTATACTGAGTAAAGTGACAGGTAATTGCACTAAAAAGTTGCTGAGTCAATATGCAAAATATACAATCGGTGGAGGGGTGGTGGTATTTGTTCAAGTGGAAGAGATAGAAAATGGGTCGCTGAATAAGGAGGAATGAATTGATAACAAGTGGTGAGATGAGCGACAAGTGCTGTCAAAGAATTGTAAAACGGTGATAATTAAGTTGAAACGTGTACAATAGGCCGATGATTAAGGAATGAATTGATATTATTCTTATTCTTTTATCAAATTCACTTTAGAAGCAGAGTCAGACTCAAAATTCCACTTCCTTGACGTCAAACTTCAAAAAAAGTGACAATTCAGCTCAGAGATCGATTTACAGAAATCTCGCTTGGAACGGGAAGTTTAGTAATTTTCAAAGCTGGGTCCGCTTAGGCAGAAAGGGAAATCTCATCAATTCACTCTTCTCAAGAATATGATAAATATACACAAAGGATACCATCGAAGGTGAACTAGAAAACCTGAGGGAAATCCTGATGAAAAATGGATACCCGTTAGAATTTATAGATAAGAATTTGAAGCCAAAAAACACTACGGAGTGAATATATACTGCTCTGAAAAAGATTTTACTGTTGAACCTCAAATACAAGGGAGATATCGCGGCAGACATCCTTAGAAAGAGATTATCAAGACCCATAAATAGAATATTCTTTGTCACCATTCTAAGAATCATATTTCCCTATCAGAAAATCATTCATCGGTACGCAAAGGGTAAGCTTGAGCGTTAAGTCCTATGAGTGTGTGTATATCAGTTTACTTGCTCTAGTGGAGCTCAGTACATCGGATTTATCACGCGCCGGCTGCTTATGGAACGCGCTCGCGATCACCACCTAACCTGGTTGGCGCGGGGTGAATCGAAATGCATCCTCAGTTCTGTAACAGAACACCTAGTAAACTTAAGAAATTTGGCTCCTTTTGATAAGTTCTTCAAAATTCTGCATAAAATGCGACCAAGCTTTTCGAAGGGAGTAAGGCTAAGACATGTGAGCATAGCTGAAGGATTGGTAGCCCAAAAGTTTAAACTATCATTATGCGTTCAAATGTAGTACAACCTCTTCTTTTTCATGGCTATCGTGGAGGATCAATCATTCTAGACAATTCCTCTGTGATGTAACTGTTTTTATTTTGCAATTAGTTTGTTTATTTACCCATCCTGAACACCTATAGACATTACATAACTTTTATTTACCAAGCGATTCACACTGACCTTTGACCAGACATTTCTCTGCAATTTTCTACTACTACATACTTACTAATAAACAGCTGTGAGAATGATTTCATCGGAAAGGAAAGTTTTTCTCCGCTGAAATCATCTGCTGTTTTTTCCTATGATCAAATGGATTTTTGATATTTAACCAAAATGTAATGTATTGATATAAATAATGTAAGCTTCGATGTTGTGATGAATCACTTACCTAACTACTCAGAGTTAAGTAGTTTGCAGTGTTATTATGCAAAAGGCATCACTTTTTCGGTGAACTAATTGTGACACGAAACTCCGGCTACAATATATATCACGTTGAGAGTCCTTTCTAGTGGGCTTGCAGCGACCGATAGCTGTTACCTTAACGTGGTGATCGGCCTCGCATATCACAATGACCCAACAAGCTATGTTGGTGGAACGCATGTTCTCTAGAGGTCCTGTCCTACCAGAAAGGTCAGCTGGATAGTGGTTAGACAAAAATCAGTTACCATTATAGAGTAGATTGCTACGTTATGATACGGGTCTGATGGTGAAGTCATACTGTTGACTGGATAGGAGTGTAACAGCAGCAAGATGTTTTCCTTGGATGGCCAGTAGTGCCAAGCTAATGCTGTCTTTCCAACGCGACGGAACGTTATAAGAAATACAGCCCAAAAGTGGCACACTTCCGGAAGCTTCACAGCTTCAGTAAAGTGTGTGCTAAGCTCCTGAATTAACTTAGTACTACTACACATTAGCAACAGACTGAAAGATATTGATGATTGAACACTCATGAATTATTTGGATTTTCCAACTTCAGTTGTTGAGTTGATCACAATTCAGAATCCTACGCTGTACAGTCATCTTTTGATTAGGAGTCAGGTATCAAGACAAACTAAAGATAGCGTAATAAATGTTAACAGCAATACCATTAATACTACTGATAATAAAGTTGAACTCACATCATTAGCAGTCAACAGCGTTGTAAATTTACACAATGAAATAACCAAATTATCTAGGACATCACTCATTCCATAATAAGCAGCTATTGTTGCACACCGATTAAATCCATCCACCGATTTATTCTGTACCTCAGGATCGGTAGTTTTATCAAATATAAATGATAACGCAGATACTGTAGGTCCCCAGATTAACTCAAACAGATCAGCATCCAATGCACCAGTTTGTACATGAATAAACTGTGCTTGTTGGTTGATGAACGGCGTAGAAGGCACTTGAATACATATGCAACAGAGAAAAAGACAAAAATAACACGCAAAGAATGATGTTAAGTCGTCGTCAATGAAATTTTTAATTTGAACACTACTATGAATGAATTTTTTAGTGATCGCATATAGAAACACATCAATGAGTGATATCAGGTTACATTTAAATCGACGACCAAACATTGTAATCAAGCATTAACCGTTTGAGAAGAATCCTTCCTACCGGTTTGTCACTTATCAGTGGAAACATCTGAAAACCTTAAGCGAGGTGCTGGGTTTGCGCAGTGAGCTGCAGCCCAATACATCACAGATTCATAACTTACACCATCTACTGATGTTTCGTCAGCTTGGAGGAGGTAACATAAACCTCAGAACTAATAAATAGCCTAGTGTGTGAGAATGTAATGATGGATAGTGGCTAGCAGTGGAATCCAGGATGCGCATTTCGTCCTATTTGGGACTCTCAGTGAGTGATGTTGTTCCCACCGGGATTATATATTTCCTAAGTTTGGAACTCATACTGTTCAAAGCAAAATGAAAAATCTACAGAGGAGTTATTTGAGCAGACTAGAGGATCGTATCGGCATACGGTGTGGAGCTGATTACTTCTGTCTATACCACATCGAACATAGTGTACCTAAATAGTTAGTTATTCAACAATTCATCACATACCATTCTATAGGCTACAGACTTTCGTACTGCCATAAATTCATCAACTAATAATCATTATTTTCTATTGTATCTTTTGATAATTATCTCATACCTCAGTAACCGTATGCATATTTCTATACCAGGCAATGAACCACACCCTATTGTAAAAAAATAAATTGGAATTTTACAGAATATATTTCATTTATAATCCAATTACCCAATGCTCAACCCATTCAACCCTATCAGGTCAAATTTTAATCCTGAAGTTTACACACGTATTGTGTATGAGTTATCAATACTTCGTGCCCATCCTAATTTCAGTAGGAGGAACAGGGATACAACACTCATGACCTATTACCTGAAAGTCAAATCTCTGATGAATGGTAAAGCCAAACAAGAATTATTGCGTATGGAAAATGACAACAAGAAGAAAACTCCGTTTTGTTCAAGTATTAAACAGATGAGTATGTCATTCCCGGAGGTATTTTGTAGCACACAGAAATTGTCTTACTTTCTAAGACTTTTCATTCTCCATATAAATCAATGTGTATCCTTCTTCTACAATCATAGTAGATAAAAATTGCCAAATGACAGCTGGCAAAAAGACACACCGCTTAGCGCCAAGGATTACATTACATAGAGGTTATCCACTAGTGGCCAATTCCAGAAGAATATATTGGTTTCAGAAATCTTTATCAGTCATGGGTCGGCCTTGAGATGGTGTTTTTATGATACAATCCAGTTTACTGCATAAAATTATGTAAGAAACATTTTAAAAAAGTATAAATTCAATTGATGCTTTTTACAAGATTAGATAGTATCAGCCTACCTTCCATAAGTAGTTTTCACGAACCAAACCCGTCTGTTCCATTGGCATGATAATTTCACAGTTATGAATATTATTGAAAATCGACTCCAAGAGTTGGGGATCGAAATCTTGACTTCCATTCATACCTATTAGTGCGAAGTGCAGCGAATTTTTTAAATAATAGTGATAGTAGAGAATAATTCCACCTGCGGTCAGCAAGTATTCACGATGTAAGAATATGATAAACAGTTATACACAACGTAATAATCTTAATACCTATTTATAGTCAAAATAATAGTAGGACCCCGACTCATTTCATTCATAATATCAAATATGTAGCATGTAGTGAAATTATCATTCACTGTTTACAGCATATAATAGCACAATTTTGAGTTTTGCACCAGTGGGAAGCAGAGGCAGCTAGCAACTACTTGTCCTGATCAGCATAGTTCGTTACCAAGAAAAGTATGATTCAGACACTAGATGACTATTTCCCACATTTCCGGTTGACCTCATTACCTGTGTAGCTGAACAAAATCCCTTCACATAGAAATTGGAACACTCAGATCCATTGCATTTATTCAGCTAACAACTCAGGTGAACTAATGGTTTACAACTACTTGTCGATATGAACACTTCTCAAAGGCAGGTAGTTGTATCAACTAACAGACTGAAATATCAACAAAACTAATGTTGGAAAATACTACTAAGTTAAAACTAAAGGCTACAATTTCTAAGTAAAACATATTGATAAACTACCACTAACCCTGAAAAGTAAATTTTTCAGACTCCAGAAATAAGTCCAAAATATTTTCTGCTTAATACGTTCAATGTTCATTTGAGAAACACTAGGTAGGCAGTCTCTATATCTCCTCACAACCTTACTAATTTATATTTCAGGACGAACAATATCTCTGTCTACTGTACTGCTATACGACTGAGACATGACCGTTGAGAGTAGAAGACATGAAGCGGTTACAGGGTTTTGATCACATATGTTTTCGCAGCATTGAGCCCGTTTGGTGGAATCACCTTGTGAACAATGCTGAGGTCAGGCGAAGGGTACTAGGCAAGAAAGGAAAGTCGATTGATGAAATTGAGAAGCTTAGTCGGCTGAGATGCCTTAGACATGCAGTGTACATGCTGAACGAGCTACCGCCTACCTTGATGTTCCATGCTAGTGAAAGTCAGAATCGGTTGGAAGAGGGTTCAGCGTGGTCAGACCAAGACCTGGTACCAGTCGATGAAGTCATTGGCTATTGGCTGTAGCTGTGTGGGGCGATATAGACTGCCTGGTTGGGATCCCCGAGACGAAAGGAATCAGTGGTTGAGGACTATTTCGACATAGCTGAAAATTGGCACATTGATGGAGATGAATTCACTGCTTGACATCTTCTAGAACTTCAATATTTACACTGACCGTTATCTTCAAATTACTTATCCTCTCACGCCACTTTCTCCACTCTGATATCACTCTTGTTTTATCTACCTTTTTTGTATGCTATTGTGAACTGTGACAACTTGAGTTGGTGGACTTGTGTGCGAGGTTCAAAGTTGATCTCGTCAGTCAGTTAGGAATAAGGTGACATTGAAACAAAACTTTTCAGAGAGATATAGCAGCTCAGTAGCTCTATGATCAAACTGAAGAAATTTCACAGTAAACTCTTTCGCGTGTAGTTTTGATCTTGACTTTGTTTCACAACTGTACTCTCCCTTACAAACACTTGCTTCAGATATAATAAAGAAGCAAAATACCAACAATCTTATGGAATAAGTAGACTGTTTTAAGATCCCAGCCTCGTTGCCTTGTCCGTAGGATGACTTGCTAACATAACGTCAGCATCCTACGATTCACATTGATGAAGTAGCTGCACGGAATGAACACAGTTCAAGGTAGAAAATGTCCAATTATTAATATTTTAGGTTGGTGTTCATCATGCATTGACATCAGTTGGACCGCTAGTGGAAGTCTGGGAGCACTGTTTCGTACTGTCGTGACTTCTGGGGCAGACCGATTCGGATGTAACGACAAATGCTAAATGATGGCACTGGATGAAGGTCATGCCATATCAAGAATTGAAGGAAGTAGGAAAATATCGATCATTGGGTTCCCACCAAGTAGCTAAATGGTGAAGTGACTTCGTGAAGGTCATGGATTCTACCCCTGGTCAGGTCACTGGTCTGTACTGTTGAGGATTCCCTTACTAGGATGAAACGGCTGTCCAATACTTCCATGCTTTCAAGAGTTCGCCAAATGATGTCAGTCCGAGATGAATACCAAGTTGTAAACGAAAATTCCCTACAAACGACATAATACTTTAGCTAGTAAGGGAGGGAAGAAGTAATAGTTAGTAATAACGCCTCTTCTCCTCCAACCAACATCGCATGTCTTACCAATCTCCACTACTTAACGCTGATAACCTCACTGCTAAAGACTCAACATCTGTTATTTAATGATTTCATAACCAGTAAACAATATGTTGTTTGCTATTTGTGATTCTTCAGCCGCATATAAATACAGTCTGGAGAATGGTGGCGTTCCAGTTTGAGTGGCAGCATCATCGCTGATTGGCACGTAGGTAGATCCAGCTTAAGAATTCCAAATAGGAAGAAATGCTCAATCCTGGATTCAGCTGCTAGCCACCATCAAATAAACTATATCGTTAAGATAATGGCTTGGAAAAAAAAGTGTACTGTACTGACCGCTTAAATTCTTTTTAAAATCCTCCATACGCATAGGAGCATTTTGACGCTTAGAATTTGGATTATGCTGATCTGTATTCAACATCAGTATAGCATAAGCCAGTGTAAAAGCAGCATCAACATCAGCAAACGGAGCATTATTCGATTTATACCAATGTTCAGCAAAATGTTCCATAATCCGTTGAATTAAGGGCGCTTCACCAGGTAGACGAAATGCTTCAACATATACACGAAGCGCTTCATCGATCGGAACACCAACAAAATTAAACTGTCTTTTAAAGTGTAGAAAAAATAAAAGATGAAAATGAATGAAATACATTTGGAATATAATAGAAATGTTATAGTGTGGAGTGTACTACTTGTAAAACTCAAAAGTAGTAGATAGCATCGAGTCACTAGAAAAGGAAGGAGAAACAACAAAAACAGAGATAAAATAAAGCAAAAGAAAATGAAGAACAGTTTATCTTCGGGCATAAATGACAAATGCTGTTTGCATAAACTATGTTTAGCACAAGATATCAATGTTTTCAAGTTGTTATTCATCGTAGACTGACATCAGTTGGAGGAACAAAAAAACCTGGGAGCACTGAATAGTTGTTTCGTCCTAGTATGGGACTCCTCAACAGGGCGCAGCCACGACCCGTCAGGGGTCGAACCCTTGACCTTCAGGTTCCGTGGCCAGCACGTTACCATTGAGCTAGCCATTGGGTCACAATCCAATGGTCCATATTCCCAACTTCTGTTATCTCACGATATAGCGCAACCGCCGCCCAATGTCATCGTCGAGTAACTGTCCTCACGACCGTCAGGCTTTGCCCCACATTGGCGGTCGCTCTATATCGTGAGATAACAGAAGTTGGGAATATGGACCATTGGATTCTGACCCAATGGCTAGCTCAATGGTAACGTGCTGGCCACGGAACCTGAAGGTCAAGGGTTCGACCCTGACGGGTCGTGGCTGCGCCTTGCTGAGGAGTCCCATACTAGGACGAAACAGCTGTTTAGTGCTCCCAGGTTTTCTTTGTTCCTCCAACTGATATCAGTCTACGATGAATAACAACTTGAAATATTTCCAAATCCCCACAACTCCCTCAAAACTTCAATGTTTCACCAACACAGTGTAATTTGTTTAGTTTTTGACAGTACTATCTTGTAAATGTCCAACGTAAGTGACCTATTAATTAAAATTTAGGTATGTGGTATTCACTAGTTGACGAAATCCAGTAAGTGCTGAGAATTGCATAAAATGAATTGAACTCTCAATCTCAGCAACTATATGGATATTTATAAACTAGACAGTTAACCATAGTTCTTAGTTGAGGACTAGTGAGCCCACTTAGCAGTCCAGAACTCAGTCGATGAAGCGCGTTTCGAATCTGCCATCATTGATTGAGAGGTGACTGTCTAAACCAATGGACCACAGGCGTAGAGTGTGTATTATTGGCCAAAGTGATTAATTACGGATTATTTATAATGTTCCAAGCGATGTGAACGCCAGACAAATTTTCAAACCAGTTAAAACTCAGTTCAGGAGAAGAATGAACAGCATTTTTTTCAGACTAATTGGTTAGCACAAATCAAAATGAACAATTCTTCTAAGAATTTCGTGCCAAAAAAAATACTAAATAAATAAATATGAACCAGTAAACTGTTAACTTTCGTGAATACACTGATGTGACAATATGTCATAGTGGTTCAGGTATTCAAGGTCATAGGGTTCGAATACTGATCGAAAAAATGGAATTTTGACTATCATGTACGCATCATGCATTTTCATAAAATAAGTATAGTTTGTAGTATAATAGATGGATCTAGACGACTTTATTAGGCTATACAGTTGATCTACTGAGAAGATGCAGTCCAGGGACATTTCATTTTGCATCGCGTTGCGAATTTAAATCCAATTACAAAGGATTCTTTCAATTAAGTCCTACATAGAGAAATAAAAACGCACTCAACAACCTTGGCACATTCGTGCAGTAGACAATGAATCACAATTAATGTATGAAGGGTAGTGATACTACTTGCCTACACAATCCCCTGGTAAGTGAAGTGGTGTTCAAACCCATGATCCACTAGTTGGAAGTCATATACCTACATTAATGATCGATAGCTCCACTAGATCCTACACAGTTGAAATGACAAACAAATAGTTAGCAGATTGAGACTGGAAAACGACTACCGATTGTGTGAAGCAAATCAAGGTCGTTAGGAGCTTATAAAACCAGTAAACTAATAAAAATAAATTATCACAAACTCCCCTATGACTGACTTTACTGACGATGGTTGAGTTTATTCATCTTAAATCAGAAAGCTGTTCACATTGCCAGTAATTCTCTAGCAAAAATCAACCACGAATTATTTCCCATTGAGAAATCCACAAATGCTGTAGGCGTTTGAAAAACCTATTTAACATCCACAAAGTAAATTTTATCAATAAGTGACAAAATCTCTGCACGAATATAAAAAACTCAATTGACTCTTGTCAACTTATTGGCACCAGAGTGATATCTGGTTGTCTACTAAGAGTTAGGTACATCGGACAGCATTTCCCTTTGTCCTATTATATGACTGAGAAACGTGGTCATTAAGATAGAGGAAATGAGAAGGCTTTAGATGCCTGACTACCGCTGCCTTTTTAGTATACGCCGTGTGTTGTGGAACCACTGTGTAAGTCATGTAGTAGTCAGGCGCATAGTTCAAGACAGAGACGTATAGACAGTTATTGAAGCTGTACACAGTTATCAACTCAATATGACCGGGATGTGTTACGCATGTCCAGCACCGTCTACCTCGTCTCGTCATAATAGCTGTAGTAGATTTAAGCATCAGTCAACGAAATTCTGACTGTAAGTCTGAACTATGAAGGGAAACACAGACTTTCTGGTTGGGATCCACGTGACAATATATATATATATATATATATATATATATATATATATATATATGAGGGATAGATAGTGACCTCAGATGTTGTTACGATTTCTTGACCCGATAACCCTTGGTTTTCAACCCTAATCCAGAAGTCAACAGTGAGAAAACCATCATATCCTGACATCCAGCTGATGAGTCCTAAATAGGTCGAAACACGAGTCTTGCACTCCACTGCCAATCATGACCAAACGAATTACATCATAATGAGTCTTGAGGCAAGACAGAGGTGGTTGCACGGAATCCGCAAGCCAACAGATGATAGGTCAACTTGGTCAGCGTAATAATCAATGGAAAACTAAAAGTATCAAAGAATATCTATATACATAAATATATTTTCAGATACGAATTATGGATTGATATCGACGACAGACACTAAATTCCCGAGGATCTAATTTCTCTCCATTGATTTGTTCCTTCCTCAATAAAAACTTGTTGGTCATAGTTTTATGTACTACCTTCTTGTTTCCTAATTTTCATTATCTTTACAGATTACAATTAAAGAAACTTTTAAAAATTGCAATTTTATCCACGCTTTGGTATGTACAATTTTGAGTAGTTAAATGGGTGCTTACTTAAAGCTTCACTCTAGTGCAAAATACCACGCAGTTATCGTGAGATCACGTATACTGTTAACAATGACCGTCGACAACATTTAGACAAAAATCAGTTTGGCCAGAATTTTGAAAAACCTCGCCAATGAATGGATTCTGTTTTCAAGAACAGAATACTAGAGGTCAATCAAGTGTTTTGGATAACTTATCTACCAACATAAAGCAGGTTTCCGATCCATGTCGAAATAGTCCTCAACCACTGATTCCTTTTGTCTCGGGGATCCCAACCAGGCAGTCTATATTCCCCACACAGCTAAGCCAATAGCCAATGACTTCATCGACTGGTGCCAGGTCTTGGTCTGACCACGCTGAACCCTCTTTCAATCGATTTTAACTTTCACTAGCACAGCACATCAAGGCGGGCGGTAGCTCGTTCAGCATGCACACTGCATGTCTAAGGCATCTCAGTCGACTAAGCTTCTCAATTTCATTGATCGACTTTCCTTTCTTGCCTAGTACCCTTCGCCTGACCTCAGCATTGTTCACAAGAGGATTCCACCAAACGGGCTCAATGCTGCGAAAACATATGTGATCAAAACCCTGTAACCGCTTCATGTCTTCTACTCTCAACGGCAGTGTCTCACTCCACAACAGGACGGGACGGACTGCAGCGCAATATACTCATCGTTTGATAGATAGTTGTAAATCTCGCCAGTCGGCACCATAGATGACACAATTCGATAAACGCCAAACGAGCATTCCCCATCCCGGCTCAGATTTCATCAGAAACCAAACCATGCGAACTGATGCAACTCCCCAAGTAAGTGAAGTGATCGACATATTCCACCACTTCACCCCCTACCATTAACTGGGAGTACCTGAAGAAGACCAGTAGTGGAGCATCAGCTTACATTTGACAGATGTCAGCGAAACGTATGTCAAACATACTCAGATACCTGCTCAACGGACCCATAAGAACCTACAACGCATCAGCGTCTTTATCTACCAAGACAATATTGTCTGCATACTCTAAGTCAATCAGGTTACCTTCATGGAGTAGATCAATCCCTACAAAGTCGGAGACATTTAGGCTTATATCCATTAGTACTTCAATGACGAAGTGGAATATGAACTGAGACAAGGAACATCCCTGGTGAACATCACTACTTGTCGTCAATCTACATGAAAACTCTCCATAAGCCCTGATATGACCAAGAGAGTTCAAGTAGAGGGCTTTGATTAGTGTTATGTGCTTGCTCGGTACTCTCTTAACAGTCACACACTACCGACAACACCTCACGATAGTCAGAATCAGATACCACCTTCAGATTAAGAAATATGGCAAGTGTGGGTCGCCGGTAAGTATGCCTGCGTTCCAGAACCTGTTAGAGGGTAAAAATATGATCGCTGCACCCTCGTCCGGCTGTCTGAAGCCTGACTGGTTTTCTCAAATTTTCTGTTTTGGAGCTCCAATTAGGCATCGAATAACTATGGACCCTAAGATCCTGGACACAATATTTTAGTCAAACTAGTTCCCTTGTGGTTGTTACAAGATTTCTCTCCCTTCTTATAAACTGGGATGATAAGAGAAGCAGATCAGTCTGATGGAACTACCTCTCATCCCCATACACTGTCTAGTACCTTCGTCAATCTAACGAGCGTCTTCCTAACTCCATCCTTGAAAACTTCAGGTGACAAACTGTCAGGTACTGGTGCTTTCAGGTTAGATACAGCTTTCTCAACTTCAAGGAGTTAGAAGACCGATATCTACATCCCACTCAGGTTCAGGCCGGATGTTAAGCAACTGAAGCGTCTCTAGAAGCCAGAAGAACTGTGATTCAAAGTGCTCCGCCAAATGTTCTAGCCACCTGTTCTGAGGTGTTATCAGAGTCCCATTCTTTTCGGTGACAGTTTCACTAACCATCATCCCCCTCTTGACTGTATCCTTATTAACGTCAAATAGTTACTGAGTGTTACCCAACGCTGATGCCTTTTCGTAATTTATTGTACATATTCATATCATGAATATGGATAATAAGTTGTGTCCGAAACGTTATATGGTAAATGATAGTTTCACTGTATGACATCTCTAATAAATACACTAAAGTAGAATTACAATTTTATATTCAATTTCGCCATTCGTTTTTACCTTTGCTACATGTGTCACTCTTAAGACAGCTCTTAAAAACGTGAGCGGTGCAAATCTGCTAACAGGTAAGACTGTTTGATCTTGAGTTCCCAGACGAGATTTTGATACTGTAGGTCAATAAAAAATTAACTATATTACACATAATCAGTTGATGACTACTGTCCGCAGGTATTTCAAATGGTATGCATTGTCGAAGCAAAAGGTGCTTCCACAAAACTGGAAGAAGCTTGTGTCTGTACTCATTCTTGGAGGTGAATCTCTAGAAGTAGTCGAAAAGTCTGTATATCTGCGTAGTTATGTCAGTGCAGGTGGGAGTATGACTGATACGATTTCTGAGTATACACTGAAAGCCAGACAGGCATATGCCAATTTAAGTTACCTCTGGTGCCGTTAGTTTAGCTTTAGAAGGTCAAGTGTACAACACATCAATATGGGCTTATCCGCAGTTTTTGTGACACCTCGTCACTTTGAACTAAAGATGTCAGCCGATTCTATGTGCCCGATCACTGTTATCTTCGAAAAAAAGGTCTAGATTTGATGAAAATATTGTGTAATAATTCTGAGTTCTGATAGAGCACTTTTGCCTGATCGAGGCAGTCTTTCATTGTGAATGTGTTCGATGGTATAGACGTATACTGTTAATGTCTTCCCATTAGGTACGATGTGTTTTACTGTTAGTCCTGAGACTGGTTGGAAGATGCGGGGAGCCAGTACATGATGTGGGTCCATGAGATCAAGAACAGCATCCGTTCGTGTTACACAACTCCCTCGATGAGGTTCAAGAGATCACGCAACTCGGCGACTGAAAACCACAACAGACAGCACTGTATCGTAACCAGTGATCAAATTTTAGTCTTGTTTCTTTGAATACTGAAAAGAGAAACGAAAGTAGTGAGTGCCCACATGATAAACTGTCTACATTTCACAAATGTTACATTCCTATAGTGCTTTTATATTATTTTTGTGTGGAGTGTTTTTCCTTACTTGTTTTAAGTTGTTATTCATCGAAGACTGACATCAGTTGGAGGAACAAAGGAAACCTGGGAGCACTGGACAGCTGTTTCGTCCTAGTATGGGACTCCTCAGCAGTGCGCCCCCCGGACCCTCTCGGACACTACTTGATGGATTAGAGCTTACTTGTTTTATCCGTTTAGTACAATATTTTAGCAGATAATGATTTAACATAGTTTTTTTCTATTTTAACCATTTGCAGTTATAATTTTACAAAACAAACTTGAAAAAAAGTGATGAGAATCTCTAAATACTTTCGCTTTGTTCCACATACATACATAAACTCACCGAACGAATGCTGCTAAAACATCAACATTCTCCCGATCACTAATGTATTCTCCAACCATACGTTTCTCTAAGCGTGGATTTTCACGAAGAAACAAAGCCAGCTCATCATAATTCAATGGCTTTTGCAAAATATTATGTTCTTGTAAAAAGGCTATTCCACGTTTTGGTTTCACATTGAACTGATCTGACCCAAGCATCAACAGCTGAAGAATGAATAGTAAATAAATAAATAAATAATAATAGTCTTTGACGTCTTTCAAGCATTTTTCAAAATTTGTCTGTAGCTTATCTAATAAGTAGTATGCGCCTAGGTAAAGCATCTGGGATGTTCTAATGTAGTCAGTAAGCCTTGGTGATCGAAATGTGAACGCTATACATTATGTTGGTGACTATTTGATGATTAATTATTCTATATTAATTTCGCGAAATGTGAAAATTACATATGCACTAAGCAGCTCCCAAGTACACAGCGTAGACTCTCAACATACCATTCAGTGATGCCAAATAAACACCACACATAGTGGATAAATGTCAAATGTCAGGATAAATATCCTTTTCAAGGCTTTCTTTTTGTAACTGTCACCAAATACATAATGTAATGCTATATAAATGAATGGTCACTGTGGAGCAATAAATATAATGTTGTCTAGCCCTAAGCACTGACCCCATTCTATCGATCACGTTTATAATCCCATCACTAGAGTTGGGCGACTCACCATTTTCTTTTCATACTGATCTATAGGAGATGATGTGCAGAAAATCCTACTGATAGTCATCAGCAAAAATAAACCTACACCCAGTGTTCTGCTAATCATCTCTAAACAACTAAAAGTAACTCAACCCGGTATACATATTTAAGTACTAAGTAATGAACCACATTTATAATAACAGTAATAATAATGATAAAGTTATTTATTGATATACTTGTAATTCTTTGCTAATTTATTGGGTCGGATTGTCCGACCTCTATCAACATATGGGCTCCTATGCGGATGCCTCGACATTGTCTGAATGTCAATGATGGTAAATAAGTTGGTTGTGGCTAGCAGAGGAATCTAGGACGCACGTTCCTCCTACTTGGAACCCGTCATCTGGATGTACGTGCACCCCAGTCAGTGATGTTGTTCCCACTGAGAATCGAACCTCGTACTCATCGCTTCAAACGCCAAGGCGTTATCCACTAAGCCACGGAGCAACGATAGCCATCTCTTGTACGACGGGTAGTAATTATTTCTTGGCATACTTGTAATTTTCTGTTGTTTTGCCAATAGAGGTCGAACAGTTTTACCCAACAAAACAGACAACGCAGAATAACAAGTACGTCAATAAATAGTAATAACTACTACCCGTTGTACAAGAGGTGGCTATCGTTCCTCCATGGTATAGTGGATAATGCCTTGGCTTTTGAAGCGATGAGTACGAGGTTTGATTCTCAATGGGGGCAACATCACTGACTGGGGTGCACGTATACCCAGTTGACAAGTCCAAAGTAGGACGAAATGCGCATCCTGGACTTTTCTGCTAGCCACAACCAACAAAATTACCATAATAAAGTTATTATTACACTGCTACTAGGTTTCCAAAGTGGAAATAGTTGAGACGGAGTTTGAACCCACGACCTATCCCTTGAAATTTAAGCTTTTAACCCAATCAGTCACGTGTCTGATATTCATACAGAAAAAGGCAGATTTAAGGTGGTACTCAACTGTACAACACTGATGTAATAAAATAATTGTTACTCTATGTAGGGCACTGTAAATGTCCAGCTAAAAAAGTTGTACACACAATGAAAGAAAACGGTGATAGGAGCTGCATGCCTATAAAAGTCAGTGACCAGTAAAAAAACTTATAAATCGCCCTTTTTCTTCAAATCTGCAAGCTTGTGTTCATTGTTTCGCTTGAATTAAGGACTTGCACAGATGCATGAAGGGTTCAACATAGCTGCAAATTGCATCACATCACTATGGTTAGTAACAACCAATCAAGCAGATAGAATTACCGCAATACAGACTGTACGGAAAGCAATTTATATCACCACTTAAATAAGATAGGGATCCAATAGAAATCAAATGTAACCAAGCTCTCCCGACAAGGTATGTTGACTACCAATTTTACCTACGTCAAAATCTCTCACTGTTTGACATACACATGTTCGTATGACCAAAAGAAATGGATAAAAACTTCGTGAAGTGATACCAAAGCTCTTATTCTAATCAAGTCAGTTAACTGCAACACAAGCAGATAGACAAACAGAGAGACAAAATCAGTGTAGAACCTCTCATACAAATGCATCGACTCAAATTGCAACACTTCACAATAATACACAAAGAACAAGTGTACAGAATAAAAGTGATATCAAATTAGACAAAGTTGTATGAGAGGGTAAAAGACTTAAAGGCTAAGTGCAAATATTCAAGCTTCAGAAAAAGTCAAGGAGTGAATACATGTGCGCCATTGTCACTGATTTTCACCAAGAGCCTTCAACCACGGATTCCTTTCATCTCGAGGTTACCAGCCAGGTAGTCCACATCTTCCTACATGGCTCATACCAACAGTCAGAGACTTCATGAACTGGTCTACATCTCAGTCTAGCCATCCTGAACCCTCTTCCAATCTCATCCAGCTTCCCGTAGCATGTATAACACGTCGAGGTAGGGAGTGGCTCGGTATGTGCAACACATGTCCAAATCACCTCAATCGACTAAGGTTTACAACTTCAACAATCAACTTTGCTTACTTGCTTAGTATCCTTCGCCTGACTTCAATATTGTTCACATAGTGATTCCAGTAAACGCGAGTAATGCTACGAAGACATCTGTGATCAAAACCCTGTAATCGCTTCATGTCTTCTATTCTTAACAGCTATGTCTCACAGCCACAAAACAAGACAGAAAGGACTGTAGACTAGTTTACTAATTTTTTCATAAATACTCGGATATTTCGCCACCCGGTGCCCCAAATGACAAAAGTTAGCAAATCCCAAACAGGCCTTTTGTATTGGTGTTGAAAATTCATCACCAAGCACTTAGTTCGGGTTGAAGAAAGTGATACCTAGTTTCGAACCTTAATAACGCCTATGTTTAGCTTTCGAAGAGCTTGAATTCTGCAATAATGAAAAAGTAATACTGCTCACATTTGACAGCTTCCTGGTACTACACAGTAGTTAACAATCAGAAGTTATATATATATGTGGCATACCTTCTTTTTAGCCTTGGCAGCATTCAATTCCTCTCGAGATGGTAATTTTGTTGAATCAACAAGATGTCGATTAAGTCGTACTTTGTACTTACTACTATCAGAAAGTGGTAGGTAGCTGGAGAGATTTATGGATTTATCAGAATAATTCTGATTAGTTGTTGTAACTGTTGATGGCGGTGGTGGAGGCGATGGTAACGACGGAGGTAATGTAGTGTTGCATTGAACTTCAATTGTATTGAGTACGACCAGTAGTGCATCTAGAGCCAACAAATGTGTACCCATTAAACGTTCAACGGGGAAAGCATTTTTCGCTAACATTTTTGTGATATCTTCAAATAAATTTGAGCAATATGCATCACAATCATAATTAACATAGAGTTCAGTAGCTAGTCCTGGGACAAGAAATAGGCGAACAACTGAATCCAAGGCTATTTCACGAAATTCATAACTTGTTGACTCATTATCTGATGAACTGATTGCAGTTAATCGTTGTAGATAAACCTGTAGAATGAAGAAAGAAAGGCTTTCGTAACGAAAAACTAAATGACAGGAAAGTTCAGATCACAGAGCTGTGGCTCACTGAATTTAGGTATTCAACTTTCAATCAGTTTTCTGATTGTCTTTTAAATAATATACTGAATGAATACTGATATCTCGATACAGAGGTTTGGTGAGCTTATGCTAAATAGGCTCTACTGGGTCAGACTGATCTATATGCTTGTTGCCAGACATCCTGCCAAGCAAAGAGGAAGCTTGAAGAAGAAGAAAAAGATGTCATTAATATCATTTCGCTGAAGTGTCATGGCGTAAATACGACACATATTCGAAACCACCAACACTGAAAGAAATCGGTTAGATAGGGAAACCTAAAATTGAAGTAACTTTTGGTTTTTTTCAGTGAGTACCACTCTGTAAACACTAAATTGAGTTCAGAAGATATTCACTGATCTCTGGATCTATGCAACAGAAATGAATAGAATTGCTCAACAAAAACGAAGATCTGTCTGAAATCGTATAAGATGAACAGATCTACATTGTAGTCGTGGATCGCGGGTCCAGGGAGTTGACTTTCAACAAGTGGGTCACGTATGAATCCCCCTCTGTCTACCGCCATCTTACCAAATAAGTAATAGCAGTATCCCTCAAACAAAAGATTTGGCTAATTGTCTAGTGTACGAATCTATAAGTGGTTGTTGATTCAGTGGTACAAGTGTATCTTTACCCTAATCATTATTTTTTTGTAACTTGTTTTATCCCCTCTTTTCGTCTTATAATGACTTTCTAGTACTGTTGATTACGTCACTTCTGTTTCCTTGTCTTTTGTTCTTATCCTTATGTCCTCATGTGAGATGTGATAATTTATAACGACACAGCATAATGGAAAGGTCTTATTTTGGCGGCCGCATAAATTTTGGGTCAATAGAAGTTTCCATGGAATATATTTTATCAGATTCCTAGATTTTTAATTGTTTTAAGCATTCAAATGTCAACAAATCACGACAATTACTCTCACACATTCTTAAATGTCTTCAGCATATCGTAAGACAAGTTAACAACAATAGAGGTCGGACAATTCGACCCAGTATAGCAACGGGGGATTACAAGTATCAAACAATGGCTGATATCTATTGTACAAGAGGTGACTGGCTTGCCTCAGTGCCTTAGGGGATAATGCTTTGACGTTTGAAGCGATGGGTACTGGGTGCGAGACCCAGAGGAAACAACACCAATCACTAGGGTGCAGGTAGATTCAGCCGACGAGTCCCAAATAGGACGAAACGCGCATCCTGGATTTTACAGCTAGCCACCAAACAGATGTCAAGATAATCTGGTCACACATTTACTTGTCGAGGGATTTCATATGAAAGGTGAAAATACAATGGAGTAAAGTAAATTAATTAAGATATTACAAGATTTGAAAAAATTAGGGACAATTTGGAGGAATAATATATAGGTTCGTTTCCTAGGTATAAAATCAGCTATTTTATTGTCGTACGTTTTGAACATATAATTCAGGGCATCAGTCAGCCTGTGAAACCTGTCTGTTTTTTCAGGTTCGCAGTTCCCGAGCTGCACTTACATGTCTAATGATAATCAAACCTAGAATTTTAGAGGCCAAGTTCGTCAAAATGATTCTCCTGTGGCTATTCACAGGAAACGTTTCTTGGCTGAAGACCGGGACAGTTAGCGACTGAAACAAGACAAAGAGATCATATTTGAATCACATAAGCTAGCTAACGCTTAAGTTAATCCCACCAACTTTTTTCACAGCTGATAGAAAACCATTTAGTGGATGGTGTTGGCTGCAAGTGAGTCTAAGATTCTTGACATGGAAGATAATTTATTCAGTGATGTCATAACCCTGAAGTGACTTCTATGGGATACATACCTTTAACATCAACATAAGACTAGGCATTACTGCGTAAAAGTCCAAGCTACCACAGCCCATTTCAGCACATCAAGTAACAAAGCAGTAAAATCGAAGATGAAGAAACGAAGAAAAATCGATCAAAAGCAGTGGAAACCAGTAGGAAAGAGGAAGGAGAAATGAGAAAAATTTGAATTCAGATGAAAATAAAGAACCGCTGTGATATCAATTCTGAGCCATGTCAACTAGAGTCTTCAACCACTGGTTTCTATTGTCACGTGGACCTGAACCTGCTAGTCTAAATCTCCCTACATGACTCAGATCAACAGTCAAAGACTTCATGCAATGATCCCATGCTTTCATCTGGCTGCTCCGAGCTTTTTTACAGCCTGAACCTACTTCAGCTAGCATTGAGGGACGAGGTAGATGGTGGCTAGTCACATGCAACACATGTCCCAACCATTTCAGTCGATGTAGGTTCACAACCGCATCAACTGACTTCCCTCCTCCTTAAAACTCTACATCTGACTTCTGCGTTACTCACGTGATGACACTACAACACACGGCGTGTGTTAGGAAGGAAACGGTGGTCAAACACCCAAAGCCTTCTCATATCCTCTCCCTTTAATGGTCATATTTCACAACCATGGAGTGAACTACAGCACAGTACACTCGACCCTAAATATGAAACCAGATGTCGTGGCGGCACCACAGATGATGTAAGTTGGCGAAAGTCAACCAAGCCTTTTGTATTCACGCAGAGATTTCGCCGGTCACTGTCCCATCACCACTGATCCAACTTCCCAAGTAAGTGAAGTGTTCAATGCACTTAATCACTTCATTTTCCATTTTTAACCGGAGCACGTAGAAGACCAGTCCTGCAGCAACAACTGGCATTTGGATGGAGAGAAACGCATCTCAAATGTTCTCAAATCACCACCACTCAAGGTGTCCAGAAGACTCTGCGTCTCGTCAACGTCTTCACTTAACAGGACTGTCATCTGTGTAATCTAGATTTATCAAGGATTCTATTGTGATCAGATCAATCCCCGTGAAGTCAGATAACGAGAGGGAGACTTCAATAAAGTTGGATAGGAATTGAGAGAGTGGACATTCTTGACGGATACCGCTCGATGTACACAAGTCACCTGACACGATCTCTTTCCGTGCTGTTGCGAATTGTGACAACCTGAATTGTTGCGCTTCTGTGTCAGGTTCTGTACTGATCGGTTTATCTAGATGAAGTTACATTTTTTCAGAACACCATTATAATTTTTCAACTGTGATTATATACCACAGTGTACTTAATATTTAATCAATGATACTTCTAGGCTGAACCATCCAAAATAATGATAGTTGGGCTACAGGTTGCAAGAGAGTCGACTGGAACCAATGGTCAATTACACTGAGAAGAAAAGCTCATACATAAGGTTCAACAATTTTCCTGATCCAAGTCCTTTTAGACCTATGGGGTAGGATGTTAAACCTACAAATGTGATTAACAAAATATTGTTTCAATAATCGTTTTAATATCATCTGTTTAACTATAAAGAACTATAAGGATTCACTTTAAGGGCGATTAGAAGTTCATTCCATCCAGAAAATTTGAGAAAAGAGGCATCATAACAAATCTATGTCCAAATGATTTGGTCACAACTTCAAGAATTTATTAATGCTTATGTAAGGCATTCATGCCTGCTGATATGCATAATTCTTTAATACTAAGAAGCAATCACGTCACAACCACATATTTTTTCAGTTAACCACCACGAAAAGTAAATAATGAAGACTTCGAAGGCTAATTATCAGTTGAATAATACCCCAGTGGTGATGAGTGACTTTTTTCTGGACGAATTGCTAAAACTTTTTATATGAAGTAGTGAAATCTGTAGTGACCCTAAAGGTCGCCCCTAAACAATGACTGAAATAATCGATTCGATTTCTCAATTTCGTTCGGAAAAACTGATCTTCATAAAGTAGAGAAGTCTCATTGGTTATTTCAATTGTTGTTAGGGTGATCCTTTAGAGATACTCGAAATATGAGGTGAACCAAGTGTGGTCCGAGAAAGATACTGACTGACAGTTTCATCATATTTCAGACAGATTGAAATTAGAAAATGTAGATCACTAACTATGTGGTTGAATGATAACGTGCTTTCGATAACGCTATTAGAAGACGAAGATTATCTGAAAAATGTGATGTATTTGCGCAATACATTTCGAACAATCTGATCACACATTTACTTGTCAAGTCAATTTATATATGAAAATTAAAGGTCAAATATAATGAATATGAAAAGGTTGTGACACTAGTCTTGGTAACATAATCAGATAAGGGTTACCAAGGTAAATTAAGTGAAACAACAAACTGTTTTTGTACACACAGCGGGGGATTAAGTTTACGAATGGCTAACGCTTCGGCAAACTTCAGTATACGCCCCTGATTATTCCTGTATATTATCTTAAACGCTGTTTTCGTATTAACCTTGTGATTCATTCCAATAATATGTTTTGCTATAGATGACGATGGATGTCTGTCACCTGCACTTATCAAAGTTTGTGTGTTAAACTGTTTTTCTAGCCATTTGGGGATGTGTTCACCCACCCTAGTCTGCATTGAACGATTACTCCTCCCGATGTATGTGTGCCCACACATACATGTAAATTGGTAAACGCAGTTGGATGTGATGTAATCATTTGTGCGAGGTTGAGGTTTGTGGTGAAGCAGGTGTTTTGTCGTCTCAACAATTATAAGCTGAGCTGCATAGTATGTTTTACTGATAACAGATTTTAATCTCTGCTTCAATATCATACTACTTGTTTCCCCTCTGTATGGTACTTTAAGAAATATGCTTTTCTTTGGGACCGAGGAAACTGTAGGCTTTGGGGTCAACTGCTTTTTACAATGGTTGACAAACTGTAATGGATAACCATTTTCCACTAGAGTGTCTGTCAGAAACTTATTCTCATCATCCATCGTATCAGATGTACAAATACGTTAATCACCAATGTCACACTTTATAGAAGGTATGTGGATGATATCCTTGTAATATGTGACACAGATAAGGATGCCAAGAGGTTATTAAAAAGGCTTAATACCGTACAAGATCACATCAGTCTGACATGTGAGGAAGAAAAAGATCATCAACTTGCATTTCTTGATATACTCTTGTGCCGGAGGGAAGATGGATCTTTAAAACGATCAATATATAGGAAGTCTACTTGGACAGGACAGTATTTGAATTTTTATAGTTTTTGTCCGATGAAATATAAGAGAGGCTTAGTAAGATGCTTGTTCAATAGAATCCAACCTCGCACAAATGATTACATCACATCCAACTGCGTTTACCAATTTACATGTATGTGTGGGCACACATACATCGGGAGGAGTAATCGTTCAATGCAGACTAGGGTGGGTGAACACATCCCCAAATGGCTAGAAAAACAGTTTAACACACAAACTTTGATAAGTGCAGGTGACAGACATCCATCGTCATCTATAGCAAAACATATTATTGGAATGAATCACAAGGTTAATACGAAAACAGCGTTTAAGATAATATACAGGAATAATCAGGGGCGTATACTGAAGTTTGCCGAAGCGTTAGCCATTCGTAAACTTAATCCCCCGCTGTGTGTACAAAAACAGTTTGTTGTTTCACTTAATTTACCTTGGTAACCCTTATCTGATTATGTTACCAAGACTAGTGTCACAACCTTTTCATATTCATTATATTTGACCTTTAATTTTCATATATAAATTGACTTGACAAGTAAATGTGTGATCAGATTGTTCGAAATGTATTGCGCAAATACATCACATTTTTCAGATAATCTTCGTCTTCTAATAGCGTTATCGAAATTTATTAAAGGGATCAATTGTTTCAAATAACGTGCTTTGTTGTGAGAACTAATTAGGTCGTGAATGCACACCACTGAGAGTAGTCTCAAGCTGAAACTAAACAACTATCCAGTGCTTCTTGGCTTTCAATGGTTATGCAGTTGACGTTACTCTATTATTTTTCTTTTAAAAAAAGACCTACCATTGAAGTCAATTAATTATTCTTCACAAACAACTCTTTTGAAAATTTTATTTAAACAGAATGAATGTTATTGGTGAAATAACTGAATATAAAAATTTTGCTTACTTCCATTTGTAATTTTAACTGACTTCGCATAGACTCAAACAACAGGAAGCAGACACGCAGAGTAGCGGCAAACTGCCAAACATCTTCTGAAGAAAGCAGCTGTAATAGAATATGTAGAGATAAAAATGTAAATAAATAATTACGAAATGCTCTTGAGATAGAGATAATCCAGTTGACTACACACTTCAAAATCAACAGCTCCTGTTTTCTCCATAATCAAGTATATGCACTCAGATTGCAGTTAGCGGAGCGCAGGTCCGAACCCACTCCGTATCGTAAAAAGCCTCAGAAACCAAGTAGCACTATTAAACATTACATTATATGTGGTTCATTGCGTAGTGCATGGACCTGCATACATGTTAATCACCGCATATTACAATCATTCATTTATGCCTGCGATTTCTCGTTGTTATTCTGGATAGAATTGATAAACTTCTGTTGGTATATGGGCTCCTATGTGGATGTCTCAATATTACCTGATCATTGATTAAGTTTTTTTGGTGGTGGTTAGCAGTGGCACCCACATAAGAGCCAACAGAGGTCGATAAATTCGATCCAGAACAACAACAGCGGGCAGTTACAAGTATCATAAATAATAATAACTCATATTTGTTGTACAAGAGGTAGCTCTCAAGCCCCACTAGATAACGCTTTAGCAGTTGGAGGGATGGGTACTTGGTCCGAGTCTCAGCGTAAACATCACTCAATGAGGTGCAGGCGCACCTAGCAAACAAGTCCCAAATAGGATGAAACGCACGTTCTGGATTCCACTGCTAGCCACCACCAAGCAAATTATAAGATATGACAATGTTCTTCTAAAGTACTAAAATATTCTGGAAACAGATAGCAGTGAAATATTCCTGAAGTGCATTTCATGCCATTCAATCTTTATAGATATGAAGATACTCTATCCCTACGATTGTTCACCTTACGACTCAAAATGAGCGTCCCTTGTTTTAACCATCTAAGTATATCTAACTGTACAGTGAGTTGTGACAGTTACTTCTTGTGTAATGGCGATGCAATTCATTGGACTACGAATTCAGATTTCAGTGAGTGGGTCAAGAGTTCTAAAACTGTTCCATCTATTAAGTTTTGGTAATAAATTAGTATAACAGATATTTGAAAAAATAAATGTAACTCATCCTCTTATAGTTGGGAAAGCACATGTTTGTTAGGTGAGACTGATCAAAGGAAGATGATGCCGAAAACAGCGGATAATTATATGATAAAAGTTTCTTAGTCAAATGCTTACAAGATGTCACAATGTATTGCCTTTAATTATGAGGATTCAAGTGCAAGCTACTGATGTGCTTTTGATTTCTTCAGATGTCTATGGTTCCTAAAATTGATCTTTTTTCTTTATATCTCCCATCCCATAGTTCTCAACTAGTATGGATAAGAAAGTCTGTCACACATGACAGACTTCCTCCTTCTCCTCCTTAAAGCCTCCTCCCAGATTCACTCGGCAGCCTTGCGCACATTCGTGCAGTAGGCAATGAGCTAAACCTATTGTGTGAGGGCTGTTGATGATACTATCTGGTTGCCCAAGTCTCAATAGGTACAGCGGGGTTAGACCCCGTGACTACGCGATTGAAAATCATCTCAAACCAATGAGCTAAACTAATGCGCATCGAAACACCTGTCACTGAAGTGTTCAGTGCATGTCCTCGCTTCAAATCCGACGAGGTGACTGATCTACACAAATCAATATAGAACCTGGCACACAAGCGTATCGGTGCAAGTTCAAGAGATGATCGGTCCTCTTGTTTCCAACTGATTGACTCTCTATTAATTACATCTCTGGTTTTTCTAATCACAGTACTAGTTTTTCATTAAATAAAAATATGAATGCAAAAACAATAAAAACATATGTATTTTTTTGATGAGGAGTGCGGGATGGTGAGCAACTCACCAACATTAGGTATTTCGTCAAATCACCTCGAACCAATTGTAGTAATCGTGGACTACTGGCTATAGCATCAGCACCCGTCTCCAATGCAATTGTGATAAGCCCCAATGATATAGAAATAACAGTCTCATTATTATGTACAGGGGAGAGAGAATAAATTAGATAGGATAATAACTCATATACTGCTTCAATTGTATACGGTTGTGGTTGAACTGGATCTGCAGCGAGAAGACAAGAATATAAGGAGAACAGAGTTAATTGACAATATTGCCTATTATATTCAATAAGCAGAAAAGCAATACAACAACAGCATGCCATAGAGATTGTATAGACTTATCATCCGTGTGACTACACCGAAAACTTGATGGATGGGTGGTATTTCGATATGGTGACAGTCAAGGGTATCAAACAACCAACCAGAGTTAATGCATCGAGTCGGAGATGTTGGTACGGTAAATTTTGACTAAACGTCAGCTAAAAGCTACCATGAAGGTACGCATTGACACTAGAATCAGAAAAATCAGATGACTGCTTGAATATATCCGGTGAAAAAATATAACAAACTGTTTACGGTTTTTAATTTGAACTCTAAAATGAAAAACAGATCAATGTAGAACCCGGTAGAGTTTAGTTTATGTCACAGCAGCATGCAATGGAAATTTGGATAGAAAACGAACGAAGTAAAGGTAAGTGAAAATACGTGACAGAAGAAAACCTAAATAGATAGACGTTGAAGAAAACGCCCAAGACTTCAAAGATGACAGAGTTCATACATATGTGTCGGAGGGACAGAAACTTAGATTATACAACATGAAGGAAATTCAACCACTAATTCTTATTGTCTTGAGGACCCTTAGTAGGCAGCCCTGCTTACATGAATCTGGCCAACATTCAAAAACTCCATGGACGGATGCCACATCTTGGTCCCATCACCATCAACCCTCTTTAAAACCAATCCTATTTCCGATAACATGGTGCATGAAGATAGGTAGTGGCATTCGGAGAATGCTAAAGTCAATAATATCTGCATAAAGTCTTCACTGAAGACAAAGTAAAACAATGCTTTCAAAAAAAATGTTTACGGTGAATGTGATTCTAAAATTAAATCTTTCTACCTCATACTTCTCGTAATTCATCAAGCACAATCTCACTAGACAGCTGTTGTTTCAAGTAAAGACGTCGAAAACATATAGTTTACTAAAGTCTATGTAGAAGGTTTAGCCTGAATTCTACACCTACTTAGCATCCGTTTCAGACTGATTGTGAAATGCTAAGTGGGTGAGTGAAATTACTATTAAACGTCTGCCAATTTTCACAGCTGCCTATTCCTAGTGAGTCAAACGGCAAAGCTTGTTTTTTGCGCCTTCTTCACACTATGCTCAGTAATTGCAAAATGGCTTGATTCATACTTTTCCGAGAGAAGACAATACACTCTATACAGAGGGAACCGCGCTAATTCGCTGTTCAGTGAAGCCGGTATCCCTTAAGGCGGTGTTATTTCTCCTTTTCTTTCCTCTTTCTTAAGCATGACTTACCTACCTCAACTGAAGCTAACCTTGTATGCAGATGACCTAACAGTATCCATGCTGATCATCTTTTATTCAGATTTTTCTGAGTTTAATAACTTCTTAACCGAAATTGGTCATTGGTTTTTTTTAAATGACTTCACACTCAATCCCTTGAAATATCAGATGGTTAATTTTAGCTTAAAATGTGAACAAGACCTACATAAATTACTTCAGTCCCATGACCCTTGTCCAATAGGTGGCTCTTTCGCAAAGAATGTATCAAGCTTATGTTTTTCTTCTGATCGTTCTTGGTCCCATCATATCTTTACTGATTTCCAGGAGAATCCTTCTCTTCTTCTTTTACATAAGGAAACACAGATTGTCTGGCATAGCTCGGCCTCTACTTTTACGTCTTATTAATTCCTGTGTTTCGCTTATACTTCTAGCATTTATTTCACAGTATTTCGTTGATGTATTTAACAATTAATGATTGAATATTTGTTTAATTGTACTGATTTTAAATTTTTCGCTGCTCGTTGACCAATACAATAATCCTGCTACATACTTCGCGTTACCTGCTGATATTTACACTGTTTGACACAGGTGGATCAGCAGTGTCAAGGATAATAAATAGGCGATAGTGTATCGGGACGCGTATATAAATTTGAAGTCAGATATCAGAGCTCGATATACTTACTTATTGTTCCCCCTAACTCTTTCCTGGACTCCAGAAAAAAGACTATGATGTATTGTGTAGGATTTTCAAGGCTGTTAATAGAGCAGGTGGTACACTACTAACTGTGCTGATAAATGCGGTCGTGGATAGGGATCCGAACTCTTGTAGACTACTGGCTAGAAATATTTTATCTGATAACAAGCATCCTCTGCACCTGCACCTTTCTCAAAGTCTGTTTACTGGCAAGAAGCAAATACATTAGACTCTATACACGAATAATTACACATAAAAATTCAACTATACCACCTTAGCTTGCGTATTGTGTGGAGAAAATCATGTAAGAAATAGTCTTATTAATCAACTTTGCAATGGCGAACACTTATCGTGTCCCTGAAGTCGTGAAACATTTCAATAATCTTGTTATTAATTGCTATGTATCTTTAAACAGCACCATTTTTAATTTATATATTTGAAAAGAGCTGTACAACAGGTAAGCTAATGAAATATCATATGCTGATGATTCTGTACTGTAAACACTGCTTTTAAAACCGTTTTTCTTATCGATCAAGGTTGTTTTTTGGATAAAACTGTTGGGGTTTTGAAGTTGTTGGTTCCTGAAGTACGGCGTTAACGAAAATATTAGGAGAGAACTCTGTAGTTTCAACTGAACACACGACGATGTATTCTTGCATAGCCTACAGTAACTAATATTTACAGTGAAGTGTTGAAACTATCCGAGTATTCGGATTTCGATAGCGTAATTAGAAGACGAAGTTTATCTGAGCAATGTGATGTATTTGCGCAATACATTTCGAACAATCTGATCGGATTTCGATAAAAATATATACAGGGATTTTAAAACCAATGCAACTCACCAAATGATAGAGGACGATCAATCAAAACACTTTAGTATTACCCAATTACATATTAGCCACAAATGTTATTCATATTTTGAGTTTGTAAATCCATCTTGATTCCCTTTTTAACGTTACGTGGCTAATGCTTGATCCTAAGGAATAAATTGTCCCCTCAGGGTGCTATGGAAAGTCATACTCTCTGATACCAAACTGTTAGGGATGCCTATTCCTTAAGAAAAACTAACTTATAATATCTGTATTTTATCAATGTAAAATTTAAACGTTATTTTCGCGCCCTTTTTATGCCGTGCGATGTTACTTATTTTTACCGCAGTTTGGGATACTGAACGGTGATTGGTTCATTTTACAGTTTTAATATTCTATTTTTTCCCTGGCTAAGGCCGTCTAAGGATATATAAACGACTGAGTTTTCAGCTTTGAGATTATTCGGTTGAAGTAAAAATACCTTCGATTCCACCATCTTCTTCTGGTGTCAGCTGAATATCGAGCTGAGAATTCATTGTTCCATCGTTGGTCGTATGGCGTTGGAGCATTGTATCGTTATATATACCATAGATCATAACACAAACATGCAAGGAGAGGGATATCTGACACAGACGATATGCAATGAATTTCATTTATTTCTTCAAGATCCTTTTTTTCAAAGCCTAGATCACCATTGAAAAAGCACTGCTTATTTGTCTTAATTGGGTAGTAAGAACTAAGACGCGAGCAACCTTTATCTATTTTAATTAACTTTTCAAGGACATTTGGTTAGTCGCTGATATTGGAACCTTCTAGTTGATCACCACCCTTGACTCATTCATTCCTCCCAGTCTCTGAATTATACGTGAATAAAGAAGATAACAAATGCAATTTTTGCTCCTCCTGCATAGATCTGAGTGTACCGGTTCTAGTTAGTGCTAATGTCAAATTAAAGTCCATAATTCCGTTCTGGATACAGTACAATTAATAATTCAATAAATCAATACATCTGTATTCAACTGAAGTACTTTAAACAGGGATATATCAAGAGACCATATCATTATGCACTATAATTGTAGATACCATCACACAGCAATATAGTCAATAATCCTTCACGATACACAGCGTTCAATCACCTCAGTTAATATGTACATAAGTTTCTATCGCTTGTTTGCATTTTTCAAGGCTTATTCAACAGTTTTGATTAAGGGTTGGTGTCAGTTGGAGAACAATTGAAAACCTCAGATAAATGGATCTGTTTCACTCTAGTCTGAGACTTCTCAAAGGTGTGCACCATGACTCCCGTGAGTGACCTATGGAGTTAACCCAGTTGGAAGTCAGGCAGATGCCCACTGATGACATTGGATGTTGGTTATAGAATACTACGATTTAACAGAAGTAGGAATATGTGAACCATTGAATTCCAACCTTTTTCGCTGAATAATAGTGCGCTCCCTGCGATATGTGGACTCCGATCCCTTACAGGATAGTGTAGGTGCACACTGCTGCTTAGTTCCGAAATATGATAAAACACCAATGCAATGCCCCTAGGTTCTCAACGTTTCTCTAGTTGATTATAATCCATGATTAAAACTATTTTGAAAACAGTATGTTTGTGTTTATATCCCCAAAAACTATAAAACATGATCCCGGTGACTTTTATTCCTCAGATGACATTTTTTAGAAACGCATAAAGGATTACGCATAGTTCATATCTTTAGTCAACAATTGGTAAAAAGAACAATAAACTAACTGATATTTAATCAGAGATGAACAACATACCAGCAGGTTGAAATTCATTTAAACATGCATCAGGTTGTGATGGTGGCAATGTCTAAAGTAGAGGGGAATAAATTCGCATTGAAAAATAAAAACAAAGGTAAGAGGCTGATTAAATGTACAATTACCACAGCTTTCCTACTTGAGCAATGATAAGTGGTTGAGTGTAATCAGCAATAAACTCTGCTTTACCTAGATTTCGTCTTTGTTGGCACTCATCAGCAAAGTATATCTACAACCCCGAAGGGATTAGATTTCTGCTCAGTGATTCACACTAGCATCATCAAGTGCTGTCGTCACGGACTTTACCACTGAGCTATTCAGGTTCGAGTCTTTGAGGAGCAGCAAATTCCGTTGACGTTGAATATAAATGCCCAGTTGATATATGCTAACAAGTACGAAACTCAGGTCAAGCAATACTTCATACCGATTGCCAACAACCGCCTGATATCAATCAAATAGTTAGCTTGCTAACCATAATAAGAAATGATTGGTAGAATGCAGTCAGTAACATGAAATTGCTTACTCTTCAGTGATTGAACAGTGAATTGAATATATATCTATTAAACAGTAATGATAATTAACTGTGATGAATTAGAATACGGAATAGTTGGTGTATCTTACAACTACTGTTCACTCGGTTTAACTAATCAACACTCACCTTATCTGTCAATTTTCATATAACCATGAAGATGACTTTCAGCTAGTGAGTCATAGGTTCTAACCCCACCCAACTGCCAAGGTTCGAATAGTCTGGTAGTATCATAAGCCCTCACACAATAAGCATTGCTCATTACCCACTGAAGGAATGTGCACAAGGTTGCTGAATGAAGCAGTTGCAGTGTTTTGATAAAAGGTATTTTCGTAGTACTGCTCGCGTTTGGTGAATCATAGTATGAGCAATGTCGAGGTCAGGCTACGAGTACCAGGCAAGTCGACTGATGAGGTTGTGAACCGTTGTTGACTGAGATGGTTTAGACATGTACTGTGCATGCCAAGTCACCATACATGCTACTGGGAGCTGGATTAAATTAAAACACGGTTCAGGGTGGTCAGACGGAGATGTAGCACCAGTTGATAAAGACCCTAACGCTTGGTCTGAGCCGTATGGAGAGATGTCGACTGGTGATCTCGAAATGAAAGGAATCAGTTGTTGAAGACTCCTGGTGACATGGTTGAAAATCAGTCACAACGGCGCACATGTATTCACTCCTTGACGTTTTCAAACGCTTGAATATTTGCACTTAGTTTTATCTTCAGATTGTTTATTCTCTCACACAACTGTACCTACTGTGATATCACTTTAAATCCACCTGTTCTTTGTACACTACTGTGAAGTGCGGTAACTTGAGTCGATATACTCGCATGTGAGGTTCTGCGTTAATTTTGTCAGTCAGAGAATCAGGAAAACCACAGGTGGATGTGTTTGACCTATCTAAACTACAACCAAATTAACTTCCTAAAGTCTAATGCTAGTCAGTAACACTGTTGAATATGCTTGGTCAGTTCCACTTTACCTATTTCAAGTACCAAGTCTTATCAAGCTGTCTAAGTGTATTTGTGTCTTCCACTTACTTTTAACTGATTGACACAATCATTCTCTCTTTTACTGAATTATTATTGTTGTTTCAAACTTATTTTCTCCCTGATTTTTGTGGCCCATTTAGTGACTGATGGTTATTTTCTTTGGCTTTGTTAATAATCAATTGTTGTTTGTTGTTTATATCTACAGTACTGCTACCATAAGAAAAGGAGAGTGAATATTGATGCCCATTGGACTACCAAAATATTGTTTACCACTGCATACAATTGAAATTGAAACATTTGACTGGTAAGAAACAGAAACATACTTACAGACAGTCTACACAAGAATACAACAAAGTAATCAAGCAGAGTTTTCTGCAATGTGATTTCAATTAGCTTAAGGTCTCATTGCAAACATAATCGATAGTGTCATGAGCATTTAAAACTGGATAACTGCATTGGTCACCTAATCAATAACTGATTCATGTGTATAGTCCGGAAGAGCCGGGACTTAATAGTAAGCTATAGGAATCAGTCAACATAATACGATTACCCATGAATGTTTGTGGAAATATTACTTTAGTCTAGGTCGAGCAATTCGACCCTATGTAGTAACAGGAAATCACGAGTATCAAAAGCAACAACTGTTACTCGTTTCACAAGAGGCGGCTATCCCGCCCCGGTGGTCTAGTGGATAACGCCGTGGCGTTTGAAGTGATGGGTACTGAGTTCAAGTCTCAGTAGGAACAACATCGTTCACTGAGAAGGCAGGTATACATCCAGCCGACAAGTCCCATGCAGGACAAAACGCATAACCTGGATTCTACTTCTAGTTAGCAAACAGACATCAACATAATGAGTAAGCAGGCAGTATCGAGTCATCCGCATAGGAGCCTATCTGCTGATAAAGGTGAGCAATTCGACCCTGTTTAGCAATGGAAAATTGTAATTGTTAATGAACAATTACTTTAGTCTTATTAACAGAGTTAAAAAATGATGGCATAGTGAAATTGAACATAATAATTAAAAAAAGTTGCTTCACCTCTTCAATATCCGCTACTGGTACAAGAGTATCATTTTATGAGGAACGGTGGATGTCAATTCTGTACATTGTGTACTTACAGAATCAGCTGATTCATGAGCAACAGAGTCAGATAATGTTGTAACTTGACCATGTACAATAAATTCCATTTGATTTGAATCATTTGCCTGGTTAAAACAACTTTTTGAATCAATTGGATGATTTGGAAAACCTAATTTATGAAAGATAATTATTAATGGGTTACTTTCTTTCATGTTAAAATTTAATCTTATCTTATTTACAAGATTTGACAGAGCTAACATTCAATTTAGAATGGTGGATAAAATTGAATTGAAAACCAATTTACTGATAAGTGAATCGAGTGTTCAAGTCAGCTCCATCTACCGAGGTTTAGGCAGCCAGGTAGTGCCATTAACACCCACAAGTATAATAGGTGTGACTACTTGACTAATGCATGACTAATGCCTCGATTTCACTCAAGATTCATTACTACACATTCGTTTGGCAGTGGCTAGTAGTAAGTGGTGTTTGAAACAATGCACACAGAGTCCTATTCTCAGTGGAAGAGCATTATTATTCACGGAATAAATGCAGGTGCATTCAGCTAATGAGTCCCAAATAAGAAGAAACAAGAGCACCTTTCGGATTCCATTGTTAGTTACCATAGAACAAATCAGAAGGATATGATATTTCGGTATTCCTACTAAACAAAAAAAAATTCAGCTAAGAAGAGAAAACAATCTCTTTAGTATGCAAAATATTAATAATACGCCAACTTACTATACTCAACTTGAGAATTACTTGAATTTTCTATTACATTATCTAGTGTTCCACAGGAAGTCTTTTCATGCATCACTTCATCTTTTTCAATAAAACCGGCTACACTATTATCACATGACTTCATAGGACTTTGACTGGTTTTAATTGGTTGAGAGATTTGTAAAGTTTCTTTATCTACCACTGTTACTTTGGTGTCATAGGAAGAGTTCCCCTGCTTTAAAGGTAATCAAGTGAAAAGATATTAATTACATTGTATAGAATTATAAATACTAATCATGAAAATCAAAAACCACATGCAAATTTATGTTATAGGCTATGGATCACATCTTTTGCATGCTAGAAGTAACCAGCCTGTCATATAACTCTAATGGTATCTTGATGACTTTATACTGCCAGATTTGCCAAGGGCGATGGGACAGTACACAACCATAAGGTCTTGTGTAAGGTCCTTAGATGAGCGTTGTGTGCTATGTGCATGCACCTCAACACGCATGTTATGTGAAGCTGTGGCTTATTGCTCGTGGCAGTTAACTTTCAACCAGTGATGGCGAGATGTGAATAATCAGGTGGTGTTACTAGATCTCACGCGATAGATGTGGTCCACTGCGTAAAGCGTGAAAATGAAAGGGTTGCAGAGAGCTAGTGTACAACACTTATCAGAAAAAAATCTATATGCTCAATCAAACTCTTCCTGGAATTTTTCTTCCCTTTACCTGGCTCAGTAGTCATCTTCTTGTACTATAGAATAATTTGAAGCACATCATTTCAACGAATGGGTTTAGCAGCATACAAACGTTCTTTTGTAACACCTTCACGTATAACAGCTGTGTAAAAGTAGAAGCTCGGGGTGTCATGAATAAAATGCAATCCTTTCTTAGTTGGTTATGTACCATCCGATTCATCATAACCTTGGGTTTTGTTGCATACACTAAACTTGTGATAAATGAATATTTTAGACACTAATGCTGTCTTAGACATCAACCAATTATTTCCTTCGGAGTATTCTCTCAAATGAAGGTTTTTCTACGCTATATTCACAAGTTTAAAGACGAAGACGTACTCCGCACTATAACCGAGGATTTTTTGTCGAATCAGGAACTAAATAAAAAATCAAGCAGGGTATACATGATTTGTAACTGTAAGGCGTTATATTCCAACCAATTCAAAAAGGTTTACAAACAGTTCAGTAAACGGTTCAATCAAGCTCCGTTACACAATCCTAAATGCCCTATCTTTACAATATGTAGCATGGACACAGCATTAAAAAAAACGCAATAGCTGGATCTAAATCTAAATTTAAATGAAATTGTGGGTCAATTTTTGTCGATTCGTCATCTGAACTTAGCCATATAATATCATTATCCCCTTCAGCATCACTAGCATGATTATTCCAAGGATGCTTAAAGTCATCTCGATAATTATTGGTGCGTTATTTGTATTAACAGTTGGCAGCTGAACTGCTACAATGGTAGAAGCAGAACCCGAATTTGAGTGAACTTCTGAACTATCCTCGACTTATTTCTTGTCTAAATTCAACTCGGGAATGAACGCAGGATCATCAGCTTTTCCTGCAATTCAGGAACTGTGTTACATAGTACTGAAGTAGCAAGTGTTTGAACTAACTAACTAAAGGATCGAGAACCAAGGCTTAAAGGTTATTGCAAGTTTATCGAAATGGAATAGCAGTACTAATCTGCAGTAAGGAAATTAAGGAGTGGCTATCGTGACTGACAAGGCTTAATAGGAAAACTCTTTACTCGAACTCACGCAACTGTGGCAGGGCTTATGGAGAGTTGTCATCAAAATCGATGACAACAAGTGGTATCTTGGAGGGATGTCTAGTGTCACCGTCCCCACTTAACTACGTCATAGACGCACTAATGGACATAACCTTAGGTACTTCTGACTTCAAATTCAAGTCATCTAATTTACTTGGACTATGCTGAAGATATTGTTCTACTGGGTGAAGACGTATACAAAATTCAGGGTCTTCTGAAAGTGTTCAGCAAAAATTTGAATATGTTTGGCTGGCGTACGTTTCGCATATCTTAAAAGTAGGGTGACGCTCCAGGATTCATCTGCAACTACTCTTAATCTGAAGATAGGGAATGAAGTGATCAAATGTGTCGACCACTTCATTTACTAGAGGAGTTCAATCAGCTAGAACAGACTGCTTGCTGAGGAAATCTCAGCTTGGATACAGAAGTCTTGTTTGACATTCGCCAACTTGCGTCATCGGTGGCGTCAGTGAGATACCCGACTACCTACAGAAGGACGGCTGTAAGACATAGCCGATCAAAGTAGAAGATATGAAGCGGTTACAGGGTTTCGATCATATGTGTCTTCGTAGAACACCCTGCGTTTGGTGAATCACCACATGAGTAACAGTGAGTTCAGGTGAAGGATACTAAGCAAGACAGGAAAGTTGATTGTTGAGGTAGTGAACCTTAGTCGATTGAGGTGGTTTGGATATGTGTTGCACATGCCAGGCCACCGCCTACCCCGACGTTCCATCCACGCTACGGGAAACTGGATTAAAAGACGGTACCAGTGGATGAAGTTCCTGACGGTTGGTTGAGGCGTGTGAGGTGATGTAGACTACCTGGTTGGAGTCCGTAGGATGAAAGGAATCAGTGGTTGAAGACTCCTGGTGACATGGCTGAAAATCGGTAACAATGGAGCAAATGTTTGCATTAACCTTTATCTTCAGATTGCTTATTCTCTCACACAATTTAGTTTACTTTGATATCACTCTTTTTTAAATATCCAGGTTGTTTTTCTCGGTTACGATCACCATTCCAATACTGAACATCCCATATGGTTGAACTATTTCCACTTTTTCACTTCACAAGCATTCGTTTAACGAGTATGTTTCAAATTATATTCAGAGTACAGCGAAAATGTTCAATGTTATAACAGTTTGTATAAAACATTTACATGGTCGTCAGACTAATCATATAATGGTTGGTTATGCGGTGATAGTGTTAATAAATATCTCAGTTCACTTCGCAGTTTTAGTTGCTGACTGAAATTATTATTATTATTATTATTTGTCCCTTGGGTTCCTAATGGAATATACGGCTTCAGTAGCACGTCTCCAGCGCACTCTGTTCTCTGAAATCTTTTGAACTTGGCTCCACGACAGCCCAGAAGATCTCATTTTCTCCTAGCACGATCTCCTCCATGTCACCGTCAGTTGGGACGCCTAACTTGTCGCTTCCCATCTGGGTTCCACTAGAGTGTTGACTGAAATATGCTACATAAATTATAAAGACATTTCAATTAAAGAATAAGTGTTTTCGTCGCATTAAATACATCAGTTCCATTGAAAAAAAAACAAAGCTTACTGTTGATAACTGTACACTCCTATCTGTTCTGAATCCAACCAAAGTTGGAAGACGGCTAAAAAACAACTGAATCATTGATGCTAGACACAATTCTGCAGTTCTTCTCAGTAAGTCACTCAACTTTGGCTCAAAGCATATACGAAAACAACTCTGTAGGATTTCGCGAATAGCTCGGTCCGAAACAAGAGTTCCAGCGGGAACAAGTAACAGTGTTCGCAATAAATGCAAAACTTTCATCAATACGACCTATAGATGATGTAAGGGAAAGAGGATTTGCTATTTTAGAAAACAATGGACTGATATTACGTAACGAACACTTTGTACATTCACTAATGCATTAGCGTAGAAAAAAATTATTGAAGAATATTTTGCTATTATTGTATTCAATCAAAGATACAATTTTTTCACAAATCAAAATTGGTCCTCGACTCTTTACAACCTGCAACACATAAGACTATGTGTGCGCAAATTAATGAATTGACCTATGAGTCACATCACATACCAGACATTCCCAAGTGGTTATTCAATGTGCATAGAAGACTCAACATCTTGTCAGCGCCTTGACCTAACAGGAGTGCGTCATCTCCTGCGACGAAGTGAGTCAATGTAAAGTCAGAAGACGAGACGGAGACAAGTCTAACTGAAAATGAACAGAGTGAAGATTCTTGACTAACACCAACCCAATTGCTACTATACTATAGGCTATAACAAATCTATGGATATTCCAATATACAGAGTTTAACAGGGTGATGTACTTGTTCGGCAATTTTTTTCTGTAAGAGATACTGCTATAAGAGCTCTCGATTGACGGAGATAAATACTGCCTTCAGGTCAAGAAATACAGCTGGTTTCGGAAACCAGTTAAGGGTGAAGATTTGGTAAGTATACTCACGGCCAGGTTTGACACCAGTCTGGTTTTCTCAGACCTTTAATTAACCATCTAATTAGTGTAGGAGTTAGAATTTTAAACAATATGTTCATCAAACCGATTCCCTTGTGGTTACCACTAGAGAATTCTTTCATGTCAACTGAGATGGCTTGAACATGTGCTGTGCATGTCAAGCCACCGCCTATTTCGACGTACCACGCAGGCAACGCGAAGCTGGATTCAGGGTGCCCGGATCACGATATGACACCATTCATCAAGTCTCTTACTGTTGGCTCGAGCCATTTTCGAACATGCTGACTGTCTGGTTGGGGTCCCGGAGACGAAAGGAATCATGACATGGCTGAAAATCGGTAACAATGGAGCAGATGTATCCACTCCTTGACATTTTTCAGAGCTTGAATACTTACACTGATCGTTATCTTCAAATTGTTTATTCTTTTACACAACTTTGTCTACTCTGATATCACTCATTCTGTCCATCTGTTTTTTGTGTACTACTGTGAAGTATGATAACTTAAGCCAATGCAGTTGTATACAAGGTTTTACGTTGATTTTATCATTGTCAATCAGTCAGACAGAAAATTCACTTACCTTTTTAGAAAAATGGGATAATGAACAACTGAAACCAGTTAGAAGAAGCTTACATAGATATTTGAAAGTGAGCACATCTAACTTAAATAACAGATGACTTGGACATATTTGCAAGAACACTAAACTTGACAATCGAATTGCATGAAACCCATATTGGAGTTCATATGACTCAAGAGTGAAGTCGATTTCACATACATTTACTACCTATCGGCGTTTTGTTAAAATGGATAGGTAAGTGGCCAAAGCTAACCAATGACAATAAATATTTCGAATATTTACTCTATATGAATTTTCAGACGACCTTTATGTCAACAGCAGAGTCTGATACCGTGATTACCTAAAACAGCTATTTCTTCAATACATGGCTTGGCTATCCACCAAGTATTTGTCGACAGATATGAATAGCTATTTATTAATCTTGAATATGTTTATTCTCTATTATTTTGACTATCCGAGTGAGATACCCACGGTTAAGCAGACTATTATTGATACAGGGTAGTGATTGAAGGGCGAATTAAAATTTGGGCCATGGTGGGATTCGAACCAGTGACCATCGGTTTCCACATCGGTGCTCTACCAACTGAGTTGCAAGATCCGACTGCTGACCAGATTTTTAGTTCACCATCAATCACCAAGGGTTTTTACCCGACTACTGCCATATGAATTTATGACGCGTTACTACCACTTGATCGTACTCACACTGTCTAACCAATCAGGACTTCTCATCCTAATCCAAATCTACTTGAATTAGAGAGAAGGAGCACCATATTATCATTTTAACTATCTGAGTGAGACAGCCGTGGTTTGGCAAACTAGTGCTGGTAGTTGGTGATGATTGCAGGTCAAATGAAAACTGGGGCTGCGGTGGGATTGAAACCGTAGTCGGGTCTCACAGCTAAGTTGTTAAAGCACAAGATCAGGACCCCGATGGTCGCAAGTTCGAATACCGCCACTGCTCAAATTTTCACTTAACCTTCAATCACCACCCAGTATCTATATTTATTCCTGTTCAGCTCGTCAGAATAAACCAGTTTAATATTACATCTTTGTTTGGCTGTCTTTTTCTTACCTATCTTTCTGTCAAAACTGTTAAAAAAAACGTGAAAACCCAAAGAAAAATACACCGCATCTTCAAGTTTTATACCATAGCAGGTTACACTCTATAAAAAAGATAAGCAATAATCATGAAAACCTTATTTACGCAACACAGCCAACCTCACGTAGGCAGCTTTAAGTGTGTTTGTAAAAAGAAACATTACTGAAAGTTATTAGTGCAATCTCTCTGGGTGTTTCCTTGTAGTGCCTTGTCATAATTCGTGGAAAAAGACTGTTCAGTTCACATTCCAATCCACATCGTGTTAGGGATCCCTATGTCCCTGATATTCCATACTTACAGTTTGTATATATTTGAAATGATTTATTTTGCGCTCTTTTCCCGCGCATGGATCATATTTCGTATGGCCCGCTATTGTTCTGATTGGCTCCTGCCTCTTTAAATGTACTAATTATTCCTTATCTTTTAGGGTTACTGTAACTCTATAAACAGGTTTCGTTTGCGCTCATACACGTTTTCAGTCCGAGATACTATAAACTCATCTGATTTCCAGTCTTTTGATTTCTCTTTACGAATCACTCGGGTTGAATCGTCTCAATCCTCGACTATAAACCGTTAATAGTTTTGTTCGTTCTCACAACTCTGCATCATAACCACATCCTGTCTACTGGAAACACAAACAATTCTTTTACAGCAACAACTTTCTAAATAAACTATTCGGCAAAAATCAGCATGAACAGTAAACGGCATATCATGCACGACTGCATATTGCAAATTGTAATGAAATTTCAAATGTTTGACACGATGCATTCCCTTCATTACTTTATTTTTCTTTTATCTAAATGCTATTTGGAAAAATATCTTGTCAGAGATTTCGTCAGCCACTGAGATCAGTGGAACTCATCAAACTAAGTGAAGTATTTCAAGGAATCAACAACTTTTTATTGTCGAATTGTATGCAATTTGACACTAGTCGCAATTCAAGATTTTTATTTAGCGTATCTGAAGTTACAGATCAGCCATTTCGCGTCCTGGATTTTAGAGTTGAATCACGAGTTCTGTAAAACAGTGTGATGTAAAAATATCCAGCTTTCCAAGCTTTCTGAGTCGAATTCTCGGGAAACAGTCCTATCTGCCGATAATAAAATCATGAACGCAACACATACACACTTACCAAACCAGTTGATGTGTAAATTTAAAAAAATATTACTTTTAACTAATGGAAACATAAATTATCCTCCACTAAAACTCGGGTAGAGAGCCGTGGATCAGTGGTTTAACGAGATGACTTTCAATCAGTGGGTCACGGGTTAACCCCCCCCTCCATTTATAAGGCTCGGGTAGCCAGGTAGCATTACTAGCCTTCACACAATAGGTGTGGTTCATTGCCTACTGCACGGATGTGCAAAAGGTGGCTGAGAGTGCTTCGTTTGTTTCGTTAACCTTGATTTTAAGAATGCCAACCCCCTAACATGATTTGTCCATCAACTCTGCTTTACTAAACATGTATCAGTACATCAACAACAAAAATTAAGTTCAGATTGCCTTCAGTTAACCTTAACATCGGTAGGCTGGCCTACCAGACCTTCCATTCTGTGAAAGTGACTTATTAACTCCAACTAATAACATTGACCTTAAGAGTAAATTTCAACACCAGTTTAAATCGATTAATTTACGGGAACTAGCATTTTTGAAACTGCATCTGTTGTCATTAAACTAGTTTCAGACAAGGTACTGCGCAGAATATTTCATTTTCATCTCAATAGTAGGAAAAAAAGTCGATCACAACAAACGAGGAAATCAAGACATAATATGGTGCCACTCATCCCGAACTGACATCAGTTGGAGAACCACTGAAAATATGGAAGCACTGGACAGCTGTTTCGTCCCTGCATGGGACGCCTCAGCAGTACGCACGGCTACGGATTCAACTCAGGACCTACAGGTTGCACGGCGAATGCGTTAACCAGTCAGCCGCTGGATCGCAGTTCAAAGGTTCACAATTCTCTACTCTTGTCAATTCGCGATAAAGCGCGACCATCACCCAAGGTCTTCAGTTGGCATTCGCTTCCCTTTCCGCTCGTTGACCCCAGAGGTCACGGTTTTTTACCAGAACTTCGGAATACCCATCTCGAAGTATATTACTAATGAGCACTATACAGTAATGCATTTTGAGATTAATCGGGATTTGTTTTCAAGATAGTACCCATCGTGGACTGACGTCGGTTGCAGAACCATTGAAAACCCAGGAGCACTTGATGGCTGTTTCGTCTCAGCATGATGATCCTCAACAGAACGCACCTACGACCCAGCTGGGGATCTAACTCAGGACCTTCAGCTATCCAGTCCTCCCAGGTTTTCAATGACTCCCCAACTGATATCAGTATGTGGTAAATGCTACCTTAAAAACAAATCCCCACTTACTTTAAAATACAATATAACAAATTTCAACAACTTACCTCTGCTGAGCGTGGATCTGTGCCTACAAAACGAGCTTGAGTGCTAGCGTCAGCAATAGCTTCAACTGCCATAGTGATAGAATTAACCGATCCAGGTCCAGTTAATGGTGATTCATCCAGTTTTCCTGGTAATTCCAAAAGTCCATAAGACAAGAACTTATCCACCGCTGTTAATGCTAGTCCAGTAACCGGGCCCGTTGTATCCTCTGAACGAATAACCTCAAGAAATGGGGTAAGATAAACCAATGGTTCTAATTCGTTAACACCTAAATCAAGAGGTTGAAAAAATGAAAACGTTCATTAAAACATAATTGGTCCGAAACTCAAAGATTAATGAGCCGACAAGCGGATAAAATGCACAACATTTTTAAAAATAGATATCACATCTACTGAATTTCAAACCATCAAAATCCGAAAAGCTACCAGCATAACACAGACATTTAAGACGACGGACCACCAGTTGGTGTATTGGACAGTGATACTACAGTAGTATAGTTCAGGTTTAAAACACTTCTAACAAAAGGAAACACTACATCTGGAATGCTAGCCGACAAATTCACATCACTTGTTCTGCAGCGTATGGAAAGACATTTGAAAAGAACTAGACTGCCTGTACTGACTCGGATTATACAATTTTGGGAAGTGACTTTTACTACAGTACAATATCAAACAAATGTATGTGCTCGTTTCAAGAAGGCATTTCACAAAAGCTATCCAGTTCACAAGCGAAAACCAAAAAAGTCAATCCTGCTCATTCCTACAATGTTACTTCAAGTAACTCGGTGGGTATTTAATAAGGGAGTACAAAAGTACTACTCCGACCCCATTAAAAACCAGGTTGTTAGGAAGTCTCTGACTGTTGGTTTAAGCCATGTAGGACGATGCAGACTAGGTGGTTGGGGTCCACGGGACAAGAAGAACCAGTGGTTGGAGACCCTAGGTGATATGGTTCAGAACCGAAGTCAGTGGCGCAGATGTATACACACATTATCCTCATCTTAACAACGCTATACCGAATCTCACTATTTTGTCATTCCTCTTTCCTTTCTTCTCGTACTTTATATTTCTTTTGACTGCATTCACTTATCTTCATCCTTCACCTCACTACCTTTTTACTTGATGTGCTGATATGAGGTGTGGCAACTCGGACCGTTACGCAGTAATGCCTGGTCCTACGTTGATAATGATGATGATGTTAGGAAAATGAAGTACAGCAACAGAAAAATGGTTAGTATCTCTTCTAAGAGCTGTGATCACCAGTCACAAACATGGAAGAAAAATAATACTTATGAAAATAAACCAATAGTCCCAAGAGACAGGCAAGAAGAAATCAACATAGGACCTCACACACGAGTGCATCGGCTTAAGTTGCCACACTTCACAGAAGTATAAAAAAAAACAGGTGAATAGAATAAAACTGATATCAAAGTAGACAAATCTGTATGAAGGAATAAGTAATTTGAGGATAAAGATTGGTGCAAATGTTAAGCTAATAGAAGACATCAAGCATTACTTCTGCGCTAATGCGGATAATTTCCAGCCATGTCACCAAGACTCTTCAAATACTGATTCCGATCATCCCAAGGACTCAAACCAGGTAGTCTACATCTCCACACACAGCTCAGATCAACAGTCACAGACTTTGTCCGCTGGTGCCAGGTCTTGGTCTGGCCACTCTAAACCCTCTTCCAACTCAATCCAACCCCCCTAGCATGGCACGTCGAAGTAGGTGGGGCTCGGGATGCACAGCACGTGTCTAAGCCACCTTATTTAGACAGGGTTCACAACTTCATCAGTCGACATGCGTATCTTGCCTAGTACCTTTCGCCGGATCTCACCATTGCTCACGCGGTAATTCTAGCAAACGCGAACAATGCTACTGCAATGCCTGTGATCAATACAGTGTGACCGCCTTATGTTTTCCACTTTTTACTGCCATGTCTTACAGTTGTATAACAAGACAGAAGACACTGCACAATTTTGTGAAGTTACAGGAATTGTCAGAAGGAGGAAGTATTGAGAAATACGAGGATTTCCCAGAACACCCCATCATCTGCTTATTAGTACTATTTCTAGTAGTTAAAATGCCATTTAGTTATGATGAAATTTACTTAAGCTGGGATTTACAAATAATCGCATTATTTTACATTACCTTGGTACTTTTATCACTACTATACGGATTACTAAAAATATCTTTTCTCCAACCCGTTGATTACCTTAGTGGTCAATAAATCCATTGGTTTTCGTTATCACGCTTCTTATCTCAATATTAACTCTAAGTGATTAGGAAATTGCTTCAATTTGAGTAATCGACGATCATACCGCACTAGCACGATTTCGATTCATAATGATATGTGACCTTTTCACTAGAAAATGCATGATGTGTCAACCCCACACCCTAACATACACATACATCCAAAACTGATAAGCTGATGACCAATTTTATTAACTCGACTTTGTTTCATCTTTCGGATACTAGTCTGAAAGGTGTCGCAGCTGAGACTAATATCCATATTTCGCGATCTATACATTAGTGATAAAAAAATTAACCATATTTAGTCTAGAAACAATTAAGGGTGTGCACGAAGAACTATAGGGTTATGAAAACATTCGTTATTTGACAACTAGATAAAACCTCTCACCATCGAGAGCACAGGAAAACAGATGATCCAAAGTAAAAAGGTTCACATACACCACGAAAACAGTACAAATGGGGAGCTGAGAGTTAGAAAGATGTAGGAAAACTCATATCAAATTATAAAGAGATGGAAATAGTTAACTGTGTAATAACAACTGTCACAAAATCTTAGTGTAAATCAATACGGTAAAGATATTGAAAGCCACATATATCCGGCTGCCCAGGTTGAAGTAGGTAGAAGGACGTTTGCGAAAAAAATTTAGCGATAAAACTCAGAAACTAAATGAACATTCGTGCATTAGGTAATGAGCTACACCTATTGTATGCAGGCTAACGATATCAACTGGTTGCCTAAACCTCGGTAGGTGGAACTGGGTTGTAAGCTGTGACCTACTGGTAGAAAATCATATCTAAATGAATAAGCAACACCTTCACTAAAGGTATTTGCCTGTGAGACCAACTGCTTGAAAGTTAGTGGAGAAAGCATTGTGAGAAATCACCTTAAACTACTATAAATACCATTTTAGTAAGTTAATTAGAAATGTCACACAATGAAAGTGTCGTTTACTGGATAACGTTTCGGACATAATTTATCGTCCATATGAATATGGACAATAAATTATGTCCGCAACGTTACCGAGTAAATGATATTGCTTTACTGTGTGATATTTCTGGTAAACTGACTAACATGGAATTAAAACCAACTGCAGTAACAAGTTTTATACTCATACTATAAATACTGACTGCTATTGTGAACTAGAATACAGAAGACATCCATCTCATATTTTGAGCACAGATGCTTCAGCCCATAGAGTTATCATGTAACTTTTACACTTTAAGAACAACTTCCACAGAAGAATTCTGTTGGTTTAGGGAGTTGACTTTCAACCACTGGGTCACAGGTTCGAACACCACTCCACCTACCGAGGTTTGGTCGTTCAGGTAGTATCACTGAACTTCATACACTAGGTGTGGCTCATTGCAAAGCGCACAAATGTGACAAAGGTAGTTGAGTGGATTTCAATCCGATTTTTGATTCTGAAACAGTCACCAAAAACATTCTGTGTAACTTAAAATTAGTCACATCTACTCATTCAGTCAAACATATAACATTTTCCCACCTATTCCATCTTCCAAATTCTATACAACGGAGGAAATCTCCAAAGACACTGTGCATCCACGCAAACAACAACTCAACTTTCTGTTGTGTATGGTGCCTTAAGATCAGTGTACAAGTAAACCCGGGAAATATGCAAGAAAAATAATGTTCTCAACCACTTAAAGGCCATTAAAAACAATAAACCTCCAAGAAAACGATATTTTTCTTAGACTTCTCTTGAGGTTCGTTAAGTGTACGTCTTTAATGCTGCCTACCAATCTCTGTGAAATAGTCAACTAAAGTTTTCTAGTTTACTGTATACAATTCTTTCCCTTCACATATTTAAGTAGAGCAAGAACAGCTTTAGCAGAATAGCATAGATCCATCCATCAAAACGTTTAGGATAAACTGGTGCCAGGATTGTTTTGGGTTGTACGCACCTAATGAGAAACCACAAAACTAGTTTATGTCGGGGTGAATCAAATGATCGAAGTAACCACTTGACTGAAACGGTAAAACGTTTTTGTGATATACGGGTTCATGTGGAAGACGTGTCGGTGATCCCGCAATTTATCTAACCCACAGGCTTTTGAATATGCCCCTGAGGTTGCAAAAGTACCAAACCCATAATTTTCCTTCAGTTTTCATTTACTACTCACTGTTGCTTCCATTGAGGTTTCATAGCACACCAAGATTTTGGCTGTTTATGGAAGAATCACTGAAGTTACTTAACCACATATTCCTACTTAGATATAAGTTATATTCATACAAATCTCAGCGTCTTTGAAACAGACGATTCCAACTTTTCGTACAAGCTTTCTGATCAGTAGTAACATTTCACCATCTTAGACACAAGCGTCGAAAACTAGTACTAAACGTGACTGAGACCTTCTGAAAGAGTTCACAGAACAGTTAGTCTTATGATCCTTTCAATGATTAGTCTGACCTATGGGAAAAAATATTTAAAAGCTGAACATCTTTTTATCGTATCATAAAGACAGAAGAGACCTATGCCACACATGGCCTTTAAGAAATAAATTCGGGCCTCACCTATTTTCTTTTATTCTTCCCACTACGAGAACGGTTCAGATGACGTGGTAGGAGTGTACAAAAGTCAAGGATGAACTACGTTGATGCTATGCTGGTTTTCGCGTCAAATAATCAATCTGAGACCGACTGCCGGAAAAGGTGTCCAGGCCACCAACTGACTAGTTAAAAGTACTGGACAAACACAAAGATATACCGGCAACGGAATAACATAGGCTCATAGCCTTCTATCATTAAACCAAAATCCCAATTCTCAACAGGCTTAGTAGCTTTTCAAGTCATTAAAAAATTTACATTAAAATTATACAACCGTAGAACCTGAAAAAGTTATTGAAAAGAATATTCTTTGTAGACTGAAAAGCCCTGAACTATACAGTCAAAAGTCTTCAATAGCCTACCACGGTAATGGATTTATAACCTAGTCAGTTGCATGGCCATTTTCCCGCTGAATAACAAGTAAATCAGAATATCAACCCATGTACCATTGTGTACACACAAATGGTTAAGAGCTTATGAGAGGAAATGTTAATGTAAACTTATTACGAGCATTTTCTTCAAATTACAAGTAATTCCTAAACTACCAAGCTCTTTAACGATCTGAACAACTATATCTACGTCTTCATTTTTGTCTTTTCGAAACTGTTCAAGTTATTTCATGAGTTTATTACTCCTGCATTGGATGACTTAATGTCTTCAATACATTAACAATTGTCTTGAAACTTCTACTGAAAGTTCGAAGCGTAAAATTTACACAGCAAACTACACGACTTCAGAAAGGTTTATTCCTTTAGATCTGAAACATCCGTACACTATTGGCAGAAAATAGCAAGCTCACATTCAAATGACATTTGGAGGGGGGGGAGTGAGGATAAAGCGTGGGGCGAACAGAGCAGAACAGAGGGGAAAACGCGTAGCCAAAAGTTACGTAGCGTTGCATCGCGAACTGCTATTTGTAACTTAAAAGACGTGGGGCAAGGTTTTAAAGAAGGGTGAGTCCTATTCACGTTCAATAAAATGTAAACGACTTGGGAAGTATTTCCTACAATGAATCAATCTTTATCTGTTTTTGGAATGTTTTGTAGTATCCACGATAAAATAGTCTTGATAATGGGATCGATGATTTTCCGGTCTATTTTTGCTAGAAATTTTAAATTAACGAAAGGCAACACATAAAATGGCGTCGCTCCTTGGTTGAAAGTTTATGGTAAGTTATTTCTGAAGAGCTTTCAAAGGCGGAGTTAAGGGCATTTATTATTATGTATTTATGCACTCAGTCACTTGATGCGCGTTCGTGCAGTAAGCTATGAGCTACACCTATTGAGTGAGGGCAAATAACACTGCCTGGCAGCTCGAACCTCAGTAGGTGAGGCAGAGTTTAAATCCGTGACGCAATAGTTGGAAATAAACTGTATACTGCCTAAACCGATGAGCCACCAAGACTCTGAGAACTAATACACGTCCAATAATATACCAGCAGGCCTCCTGAAACAATGCGGATAGAAGCAAGAAAGGTGAAGCCTGACGCAGAGTAAGGTGATGAAGTGAGAGATTAGAATGCTGGGTATCATGAGGGTAAAAGTTGTAGGATACTTTATCTTGCCCCACGTTATTCATGCAACTAGCCCCAACATCCCTTCATTTCGCCTTACAAAGTGCAAACAATGACGATTAGACAGCTAAAAGAATGAATCAGCTGTAAGCAAAATACAGTCCATGGTAAGAAATCTCACTGTGATTCCCTATGGAAGTCAAAATATTCCGGTCAGTGTGATCAACTGGACACCACAACTGGTGGACTGCCAGCATGAAAGCTGTACGAAAAATACTACTGATTGTCATCAGTACGTCTAGGCCATTCACACAGCTCAGAAGTGACCGTTAGCCAGATGTAAACGCCAGACAGCAGTTTCGATAATTTGGGTGCACTCAGACTGGTTTAACTCAGAAGTCTGTATTGCTCAAAACACTTGGATTTCAACTAGCTACTTGAACACATGGGTCACACGTCAGCCCTAAACGAGCAATTGCAAGCCATGCTAACTTGCTCACATCATCTAGGTTTGGCTAGCAAGTACTGCTGATCAGTGTGTGGTCTAGAACTACCTACACCAGTCATTCCATGTCAACCAATTAGGAAAATCAGTGAATAAAAGAGATATTAGGAGGAAAATCCAAGGGTTTAAGTAAAGCGACAACCATATACACTGGTGCCATAATTCAGCATAATCATTCTAAGATCCTAGACTTACTCGTAGCAACATTCAAAATTGATCTCAACTGACTGAAGCTCAGTAGGAGAAGTCTTTTGCTATCATCCTGAAAAACAGCGTTTTCAAAATTAAAAGTTACTATTGCTCACCTGATACATTCTAAAAGAATTTCGGTGGCTACATCGAAGAGCAGTAAGCATGAGAGACACCTCTGACTGTATCATACACAAAGCGTTGGAAGGTGCCATCTCAAACTGGCTTTTTGTCTACTGACATGCGAATTTACGGTACTGGTGGGCCACGTAAACCCAGTTTGGAAAATTTTGAACTTTCCTCCCACTTCGACCTTTGAAGATGGATGTTGTCATTTCAGTCTTCAGTGAAAAGTACGGTAAGATATATGTCTGCTTTAATCTCTGCAGCAATCATCTCCATGATGATCCAGGTTTATCTTGATTACGTTCACCGAGTGACCTCCCTCTTCCGTTCTGTTATGAGTGATCAAGATCGGCAATATGTATGTGCTACATTCATCACGCATACAACCAAAGAAACTCAACGCACACTGAAATCAAAGTAAAGGTTGGTGACTGTTCAGATGTCTTAAAGTTTCATTTGATCAGGACATCAAGCAGTTATGACATCAGACTCGAAATTCCCAACTCCTCTATGGTTTTATTCTACTTCCGTTCTACTCTCAGACGATACGATTAACCATGCTCTTTCACAGTACTGACATGCACTTTTCTGCACCAGTGTTCCCATGATTTCAAAAACTACTGTCCCCAGCTTTACAGGTGACATCAGCATGAAATTGAGGCAGCTTAAAGCTTTAAGGCGGGGGTTTTATTCACGCTGTTCCAGCTTATCAAGCATGTTTAAATTCCAAACTTTGTGTTGCAGAATTAGTGAACGACATTTCTTCGGCTTCTACCTCTGTCCTACTGGAGTACGTTCTAGGTTTGGAATGGTCACAATTGTCTTCCTGGTTCCGAAAAACCTGAAAGGATAAAGATAACCGATTATTAATTAATCGGGTTCCAATGTAGTATTACCCCTGCCGATTCACTGATGATGGAAGGCTTCTCGAGTACAGCCTACCAGTACAACAAGACTCTAGATGTGCATCTAACCTCCTTTGAAGGTATCAGGGCATGAGGCTCTAATGGTCACTGGGGGAAGGGAGTTCGACAGTTAACAAGCTCCAACTGAAACCAGTTAACACGGATCTTTGTACGTGTTCTTTCATGCTCTACTCTTAACGGGTAACCCCCACGGTGGCGTTTCTGACTGAAGCTCAAGAGGAATCCTTTAGGATAAAGGGGATTATGAGCAGTGTGGTACATCACGATCATATCTCCTATGATCCTCCAGTATTGTACTGGATTCAGCTTAAAGGCAACTAAGCTATCTACCGTGACCGAGTCACCTTCTCTGAACTCGTCCTGGGATGCCTGCGTCCTTCTTCGAGTATGTGGACATTGCAAGCGAATTTTTTTCAAGATGAGGGCAAATATGGGGTCCATACACTGTGTGAAAAGAGGAGGCAAACTCCCTAAAGTTCGCGAAAGAAGTCACTGATGTCTGCAAGGCGTCAGTGAATCGAGAGTCCAAGTGTGTCAGTTAAGGCAACCCCCAGATCTTGTTATATGTTTGAGTGACATGTATTTACTTCACCCAGATAGTGAGAACTGGGACTGTTTATATGTTCATCAGCTATCATTATCCCACACTTCTTCGAGTTGAGAGTGAGTAGGTTTTCTGTAGCTCAATTCAGGATTTTCTTAGGGCCCCCCTGGAGGACCGGTATTTCGCTCCACATCTTCAGATCCTCGGCATATAATGGAGAATGAGAATAAAGGGATCCTGGCAGGTCACTGATGAAGGCAAGGAACAGCTGTGGATCCAGAATACAGCCTTGAGACACATCGCTTAGTAGGTGAACCAATAAGACAATGAGGAGCCGACCCCAACTAACTCCAACCTAGTGTGGGAACAGTCTTTCACCCGTATTGGTAATTTTCCGTGTACACCCATGAGCCGAAGTTTCTTACACAGGATATCATGAATTACCGCCATCAAATGCCCTAGAAAAGCCAGGTAAACCTATGTGAACGGGCTCCTTCCGTTCGACTGAGAGAGCCCGGCTATTCCAGGCTGTCACCAGGTTGATGGCCTTCCAGGTAAGAAACCATGTCGATAGACGTTTAAGGTGGAGTTTTTGAGTAAGCAACCATGAAACCAGTCATTTATCATTTCTTCCATGGCCTTTACCATTGAAGAGATCAGTGGGATTGGTCTGTAGTTGGAGGCAAATAGTTTGTTTCCACCTTCACACTTTAGGAAGGCAGCTACCCGTTTCCAATCACAGAGTAACCTGCCCTCCGGAAACCAGTGTCTGTGGAGGTTCGCTAGTGGGGTACCCAAGATGTCGACACACTGATTATTCTCGGGTAAATACCATCAATTCACAAAGACTTATTCGGGGTCGAATTCTCTAAGCTTTCCCTAATCATAGAAGGTTTAAACTCTGAGTGACCTATCCTCCCTATAATAAGGGCGTCCAAAGAATGCGTGGTTGTCCCTCCTAAAAGACAGTTGTTTTGGAATTCCTGGGATAATAAGCTTGCTGCCTCGGAGTTGGTGTGGATAACCTCTAAACTACTGGCGTCCTGAATGCTAAATAGACTGTTAAACTTTTGTTTCATCACTGAGTACAAAATTCTATTATTCCTATTCAGGGTTCTGCACAGCTGCGTCTGGCAGTTTACTCCGTCATTTTTGGCTCCTATCGTACATCTGTTACAGATGTCTTTGAAATCTAATCTGCCAATAGAGCTGCTGGTGGACTCCTGTTAACTTCAGGATGACCGTTTGCTTAGTGTAAGTTTGGGCGTACCTGAATCAAGCCAGAGGGAGTGAAACTTGTCAGTTCTTCGTGGAATAAGAGGGGTGTTGTTATTTATCGTTTAAAGGACTGTGCTCTTCGACAAATCCCATCTGGAGCCCAGATCCGGCAAGTCATAGCAATTTAAACAAATGTAACCTTCCATATCTTTCCGGACCTTTACGAAATCAGTTCTCCTGTGATTCCCGGCTAATGGCCGATCAGGAGCATGTGGCTCAAGTACAGAAACAGATGCGTGATCACTGTGTCTAAGATGGCCAATAATATTTCAGTTGGTTGCCCTGATGAATTGATTTTTAAAAGGTGATAGACGAAATACGCTACCATCCACCTGCAAGCGAGTACGCTGAGAGGTATGCTCAGTCGAGGAGTTTTCCCGTACAAATTCCTGAAAATCTTCTAAAGCACCAGGTGGACTTTCAGTGGTACAGAGTTGAGGGAAGTTTGAATCCCCTATAATGAGAACCTGTGGAAGGTTCAATTCCAGAGCCCCTCTAGTGGATTGCATCAACATCTTATTCAACGTAGCAGTGGCCCCGGGACGGCGATATAAGGCACTTAATGCTACTTCACCGTGCATCTTAGGTGCCAATTCTATGGAGGCAAACCTCATGATCTTTGAAGGAAGAGTAGCTGTAACAGCGACGCCGCCTCCTGAACTCTGTGGTTTATCCTTCCGGATTAGGTTCGGCTCTCCTAAACGACCTTCTTCATCTTTCCTTATCAACAGAAGGAGTGATGTATCTAGTTCTGATGCCCAAATTGATAGTCTGCAGTATGTTGTGGTTCATGTGTTCAGCGGATCGAAACCTAATGCTGTAACGCTGGCCGCCTTAGCAGGCGGGTATGACGAGACATATGAGGTACGAGTTTGTTATTCCCGTGAAAGGGTTTAGGTGGCCTGGCAGTGCGCTTTTGTATTGGAGCCTTTCTGACAGTAAAGTATTCCTCCACGCTATTTGACGAAATACCCTCAAGATTACTCTATTCGCAGTTTTTGTTCAGTTTGACTTCTCGCTTTCTCCCCAAGTGTTTTATGACACAGTGTTTTCCCCAGAGAGGCTGTCAACTGTATATTGACCGGAATGGGTTGTCATGGGAGTGTGGTTCTCTGGTTTCGCAAAGTGAATTGAAAGATTCACGTCAAGATCTACTGAGGGCTGCTTCTCAGGTTATCCTGACAAGTGGTTGCATGTTTTCCTGACACCTAGTGTTCCTCAAGCGCATCTCCCTGCCTTCACAACCGTAGGTGGAAAGGTCCAATTGTTTACAAAATGCTTTCTGCGTTGGAAAAGCGCCCTACCCCTCACAATATTAGCTTCGTTAAAGTTGTCATAGGTTCCAATGATATTCTGAGAATTAATAAACTTCTTAGTCACAAGTGGTGTTAGGGATTTGAAGATTGTTGGGCAAATCGTTATGAAAGCCTACTGCGAAAACGCTTGCAATCACATAAGGCATTCACAATTCCACAGGCTAGTAGGATCTTACTATTTGCAGCCTCTAAGTGTAAGCCGTCAAATACATGGTATGCCATAGCTTCCCGAGACAACGCCAATCATCCTATTACCTTAGTTGATATGAAATACACTAAATTTTCAGCTTTTTGCAATTCACCGCCTTTTACGGTTCTTGGCTGGTAGGATAATAATGGTAATAATAGCTTTACTCTAAAGAATATTCCAAGAATGCAGTGCAGAATTTTTAGCATGTCATATAGCATCGGTTGGACAGCAGCAGCTTATGTGCATTATTATTATTAGTCCCTTGGGCTCCTAATGGAACATAGGGCTCCAGTGAACTGTGTTCTCTGAAATCTTTTGGGCCTGGCTCCACGACAGCCTAGAAGCTCTCATTTCCTTCTCGCACGATCTCCTCCATGTCACCCTCGGCTGGGACGTCCAACTCGTCGCTTACCATGGGGATTCCACTCGAGCAACTGGCCTGACGCGTGATGTCCCCAGTTGGCCTTCTCAGTGTATGCCCAATCCAATCCATCTCCACTTCCTTCCGCACATTTGTTGGGTGATAGGTTCTTGTTTGGTCGGTTGCCAGAGCTCCTTGTTGCTTATTCTTTCTGTCCATCTCAAATGATCTTCAGTTTCGAGTCAGCGTAAGCAGTTGTTGATGAATGTCTGTAGTTTATTGGAAATCCCTTTCGTAACGCGCCAAGTCTCTGCACCATACAGAAGCACTAACTTGGCATTGGTGCTGAAAATCCGGATCTTGTTCCACATGCTGAGTGCAGCGCAGATCTCCACACTGGTTTCAGGCTAATGAACGCCTGTCTTGCTTTTCCGATTCTGATTTTGACATCCTCCTCTGTGCCGTCACCTGTAG